TGGTAGATTGCAAGATGAGTAGTATATAACCCAAATTTCTCTGCTGAAATGCTTCAGTAAAATACAAACCAAAGCCCTCTAAAACTGTGGTTGCCACTGGGGGAGCAGAGCAGGCCAAGAAGGGTACTGTAATTAGCAGTGTAATTAACAGTAAAATGCAGTCGAATAGGAAAACAACTTCTGGTTCAGATTGGTGATGGCCTGTCCCAGCCTCACAGAGGGTAAGTTACATGTTTGCACTGATCTGATCTCAGAATGTGTAGTTTTGGGAGCTAATTGAGTTTAGTCTTGGTTAGAATTAAAAATGTGTTAATGACAAGTGTCTTTAACACTGTGGTGACTGTTCTGCTGATGGAGATTGCACAAAAAAAACAAACAACCACAAAACAAAACAAAAAACCCACGGTGAAAAGTTCTCCACTGGTCCTTTTCAGGAGTTCAAACTCCATTCCTCTGAGAGGGGTTTAAATTTCCATTTCAGATGGAAGTAGTAGTTGTAAAACACCTCGAAAGCATTTTCTAAAATATAGGAGTCTTAAGGAGTTACATCATTCATAGATAGATAGATAGATAGATAGATAGATAGATAGATAACCTAATAAGAAAATTAAATAAAAATATCCAGCAGTCTTATTTTTTATCATTTGGATGGAAAAGAGGAGGAGGAGGAGAAGTAAAGGAAGAGGAGAAGTAATAATAATAATAATAATAATAATAATAATACTGTAATACCAAACCTTTTAACCAGGAGTAGAACTTGAAAACAAAAAAGGTGAAGGTTAGTTGTATTTTCACAGACAGAATGTGTAACTTGGTAAATTCATTTTTTAACGGGGGAGAGGATAACGAAGATTTTTGGCTTGTTTCACTTGTTAAAATGTAGAACTTTAACTGAAAAAAGGAAGAGATTGGGTCGTTTTCAGAATTCCCATATGGGATATAAACCCTGTCTCTGGCAGCTTGAACCCTATTCCAGTATCTGCTCTTCAAGTAGCTGCGCAATTAATTTAAAATTATTTGTTGTAGTGTGTACAAATGAAGCCTGTGTTCCATTTTCAGCTTCTAGTGATAAGTAGTGTTTACTGTTTGTGCTGGTAGTGGTGACTGAATTACACAAACCAATTAATACCATTTCATACCAAGTGCTAAAGCTCTGTCTCACTGTGTGTTTTTTAATTTGTGGTGTGTTGTTCTCCTGAGAGATGTTTTTCATTTTAAAAGCATCATCTATCTCTCAGGGTGTGTGTTGAAACATGTAATCTGAGGAGATAGATCTCAATTTGATAATTGAGCTTAAAAAAAAAAAAGTATTATGGTCAACGTCAATAGGAATTTAAATATTCAAGATTATTTATTTGGCCATGGATTATTGTACGTGTTGCAAGTTTACATGAATGAAAATATGATTGATAAAGGTAAGGATATGAGAGCAAAAGAAAAGATAAGAATGTCAATGCAAAAAACACCCATGTCTGGAAGTAATTCCAGCTTCTGGAAGGGAAGTAAATTCAAAATCAGAATAGATTTATTGAAATCTGCTATGCTTAGTAGAACACCATTTTTTAAATCCTTTGTTCCACCACTGTTAGGTAAAGATGAAAACTAAACCACACCATATTTTGTAGCTGCCTGAACAACTAAGAGAGAGTAAGAATTGGCAGAGAAACATCCCAACTTCTGTGCCTTTATGACATCAGCTTCCTGCTGGATATTTTTTTGTGAAATTACATTTTCTGCCACCCACACATGGGCAGTGAGACCACTGTGCTGCAACATTGATTCTTCAAAGACCCATACTCAGAAACTTGTTTTCTGTTCATCCCCTTGTGTTGTGAACTAAGACAAATAGAATTTTACAAGACTTTCACATTGTATATGCACACACAACTCATAAAATTGCATTAAATACACAGATTATGAGATACCCTTTACTGTGCCTGTACACAGTTGGATTGTTCTTTAGCAGAAAGATAACAAAAAAGTTCTGTAACTTCTGACACATCATTCATGTTCTTGAATTTGTCCTCTTTTAAAGTATCTTTAAGAATTCAACATTACAGGATTCCGTAGATAAGAGCAAGGTGATTACTAAAGTCAGCATTTCACATCTTGATTTTAGCTTGTGTAGTCTCTCTCATTTTAGTATTTTTTTTTTTTTTGTATTCTAATTATTTTCTCCTTATAGGTTTTTGGGTTTTTCTTTTTTCACTTTAGGTTGATAAATACAAATGTTCTGTGGTGATTACACAAAAGGTTTTTCCTTTCTGGCTTCATTTTCACCCAGTTAAGTAGAAGCTCCTGCTCTCTTTGGTCTTAATTGCCTGATGGCAGACTAGAAGATACTTTTTGTGGTGCCAAATTACTGAATTTCATACCTGCAGGCAAGAATAATGATATACTGGTGTCAGTAGGTGTGTTGGTGGCATCTCCATCTCATCCATGACTTAGATGTGGCATATCATAGATATTTTGGTTTATTCATATTGTTTGTGTTTTTTCCGTTGTTTGGTATTTGGTTTGGGGTTTTTTCCTATTTTTCAGTTTGGTTTGGGTTACTTTTGTTCTGCTTTGGGGTTTTGTTTGTGGTTTTTTTTTGTTTGGTTGGTTTTTGTTGTTGTTGGTTTTGGTTGGGTTTTTTTGTTGTGGTGGTGGTGGTGGTGGTTGTTGGTTGGTTGGTTGGTTGGTTGGTTTTAGTTTAGAGGTTTTTGGGGGAATGGCCGGTCATTTGTGTTTGGGTCACAGGTGTATTGTGTTTGGGTCCAAGTTTTCAGTGTGCAATGAATTAATTTTTATCTTCAGAAACAAGTGCTTAGAGACCACTTCAAAGTCTGTGGCCACTGATTTTGGTTTAGTACCAGGATTTTGGACCCACTGAGTTTTGGAGTGTTTGTGCTGCAAGAGGAGGGCAAGACAGAGTTAGTGAGAGAGGGATTCCTGTCATAAGAAATGTAAAGCCTCCCTAGACCATGGTAGTGTCACCAACTCCTAACAAAGAGCTAGCAGAAGCTAATTCAGAGACTAAATGTCAAGTGCTCTTATTAATGACAAAGGAGGGAGTGAAAAAACATGTGTCACAAACTTTCTCCTGCTTCATGGCTTCTAGAATCCTGGTGCTTAATAATGTGTTTGTGGAGACTTCAAAAAATGTTCCCACTGTAGGGAAAAGCTTTAATATTTAATATTTTCTTTAAAATGTTGGACAGAATTTCTTTGTTGTCTCGAGACATCTTGGTAGAACCTTTTTGTGGACAACCATGACATTAGTGGTGGAGAGGAAGAAGTTCAGTACAAATGACAAAAATGAGAATATTTAAGTTTTTAGCAGTAAAATTTTTGGGGTAAGCCAAACCATAGGAACTATTTGAAATCTCTTAGTTATTGAGGGTGGTTCCACCTGGGTTCTCTTGTTGAAGATCAGAAGCCCTTCCACAAGCATGTTTAAGAGGAATACACAGATAAATGAATATTTACAGTATATAAACCTTCATGTAAGCTTGGAAGGATCAGATTTTTTGCAAATCACATAGTATTACGTAATATTAGTAGTGTGGTTCTACTCTAAGACACAGTTGAGTTTAGAGGCACTTCTGATTTCCCCTTTATGAGCTGTAAAGAAAGGTGAGTTTTGTTTGCTGGATGAAGCAATCCAAACCCAAGGTCCTCACTGGAGTGGCTGCGCTTGGTTGACCTTTGTAGAAATTGTTGAAATTCTGATTTCCTCACACTTTTACTGTTTTACAAGGGCCTGGCCACATGCACAGTCCTTTTCTCTTTCTTTCTTTCTTATCAGAGATTCTCCCCATCAGATGGTGCACAAAGAAGTCTCCCTCTTCTACAGCACATCAAGTGCCTTTTCTTTAATCTTTTCACAATTATTATTGAACTTTCTTCTCCAGTTTGTAAACACTCTGTACTTTTAATTGCTTTCTCCTACTTACTTTGTGTGTGTGTTTATGTAGGTTATACTATTTTAGCTTTCATCTGATTCCAGGATGTGAAAGGTTTCATTAATTTATTTATGCAAGATCATAGGAAAAATTCCAGCAGTAATTATTGATGATGTGATGGCATTTTCTCTGCTTAGCTGTTGCTGGACTTTATAAGTCTTTTTGTCCCCGTGCTCAGTCAAATCAGTTTTAGCTCCTTATTTTCTCCTGGAGTTACAGGTACCCTGCCTGCCAAAGCCATCCTCTTCATCATCTGTTCAGTCAGATGTTTGTACCTTTCTCCTGTAGTTTTCACACTTAGCACTAATCTTTGTAGATTTCTGGATTATTGTCGCACTTTGGGATGGAATAAGCAGAGACGTTAGATGTGTTTGCTGGCAGTACCGTTTGTTTATCATGGGGGACTGATGGGGACTGACATTGATCATGGGCCGTAGGGGAGTTCAGGAGTAGCCAAGAGGCTTTAGAACCTGGTGGGATGGTACAGCAGATTTGCATATAAATTTGGGTTTGAGAGACGAGTGTGAACATGGAGGGATAGGAGGAGTGCAGCACTGAATTTATAGGGTTGATGAAACCACCAGATTCTAAGTATTTGCAACAAAAACTTGGAGTGTGTGTCCTTACAGGTTAAATTTTGTGGTTTACACTATTATGAAAAAATGAATGAAAAATATTAGTGAATTATTATACTGTTCTTTACCTCTGGATTCTCCCAAGAATACTTTTCTATTCCAGGGTTCCCATCTTCCCCCCTTCTCCAGTATAGGTGTCTGATTATATGATCTGAATGATTTGTTATTCTTCCTTGTAATGCATTAAGTTACTTATATTCTGCATTCACAGCTGCTTAATGAAGTTCTAAGCAACATACCTTGATAGATGTATTGGCTAAGAATTTTTAAATTTATTTAATTCTGCTAAACACTGTGGGACAATATCCTGAATACTCTATTTAGACTGGATACTCCAGCTGTGAGTGTAACAATGACCCAGCGTGGTATTTACAAGCTAAGTGGAATTATTTAGCAGTATTTCTTTTTTTTTCCACAGCCTTTCATGTCCCCTCGGTACCCTGGAGGTCCAAGGCCACCTTTAAGAATACCCAATCAGGTAAGAATTCATCACTCCAGAGTGAGTGTTTGCTGTTTTACTTAATTCTGTGTAAAATGCATCAATCCCTCTACATACAAATTATATTTACTTCACAGTAAATATGGAGATTTTTGGTGAAAAACAGATACCATGAAGTACTCTGTGGCTCTTACAGACACTCTGAGGACTTTATAAAAGCATTGAATTCCCAGTTTACTCTCTCCCCTACGAAAGGATGCGTCTGCCAGCAAGACAGGGATGAGTAATGAGCTGCTGTTCGTCAGCAGGGACCATCAGTGGCCCATCTGTGACATGATGGTTCTGGAAGTGTAGAGAGCATTTGCATTTTTAAGTTCTCCATAGTGCAGATAGAGGAGCAGGAAGTCATCAACAGATGAGAAGTTAAAGACAAGGAGACAGAAAAATGCCAGTGGAGCTCTGAGAGGAAAACTGGGTCATTTACAATATTGTGAAAGGTTGATAGGATATATGAAATGGGTGTTTTTCTTCCAGGGCTACCTTTCTTTTTGTCACACTATACCCCAATGTCATTTGTGGCTATTTTTTATATCCGTGTGATACAGTGTCAACAAATTTGTCTCTATTTTTGGCATAATATCACCAGAAAGGATGAAATTTAAATAGTGTCTTAGCAAAGGTATTTGAGTCCCTTATCCAAGTATTTGGGTTCCACATTCTCTGTGTTCCTGAGCACTGCAAATCCTGGCAGCTGGGAGCTGGACATGCTCAGTAGAAGCACTACCAACCTGCAGGTTTAGTTTCAGGAGTGTTGTTTTGTCTGCACACTGTGATATTTTCAGTTCACAGCTGGAATGTAATCACATAATCTCAGTGAATAACAGGTCTGGCTTCATTCTCATTATGCCATGTTCATGAATTGCTTTTAGCAGCACTACCATGACTTGGGTTACAGTGTGGATGGGCAGTGTGTGAAAGCAATGAACTATTGTAATGCAGCTTTAAGGCTCAAATGAGGTGGTAGTTTGGTCCTGGTTTAGTGGGAAGTGCCCCTGCCCATGGCAGGCAGTTGGAACAAGATTATCTTTAAGGTAACTTCCAACCCTAACCACTCTGTGGTTTCCTCATTCTGTGATTTACATTTGTACTTGAAAATGTGGTGGTGTTTTGGAATGCTAAATAGCACCCAGTGGATCAGCCATGAAGATCCCTTAATAAAAACTTTTTTCTACTTGGCCAAACTTCAGTTAAGATCCTGTGAAAATGAGCCTTAACCCTAGTTCATCAAACCCAAAGGGCAGATTAACAAGTGGGGACATTAAAGCACATTACTCTTGGCTCAGAAGAAACAGACAGGAATTAAAAAATAAAATATATGTGTTATGTCTTTAAGATAAATTTCTAAGCATTAAATGGTTTCCCCTGTGGTTCCCCTTCCTTCAGGCCCTGGGAGGTGTCCCTGGAAGTCAACCACTCCTGCCCAGCGGGATGGACCCCACACGGCAGCAGGGTGAGTTCAGCCACTCCAAATTATTACCCTCACAAACTTGCATATTTCTCCCTGTATTTCAAACCCTACTCTACCTCTTAAAGCTTTTTTTTTTTTTTGCTAGAAGTTGCTTGTGTATTGTGTAATTTTTAATGTGATGTGATTTTATTGCAGGGCATCCAAACATGGGAGGGCCGATGCAGAGGATGACTCCTCCGAGGGGAATGGTGCCATTAGGACCACAGGTACCCTCTACAAATGGGTTATTCTTACTTGACAGACCTATGCTTATATTCCTCTCACTTTCCGTAACTTGAAGGTGCTCAGGATTTGTTTTCATAATCCCCTTCTAAAATAAACTTTCAGTTTTACAAAAAATATTTAGCTCTGAGTTGCAACTCTGCAAAATCCAAAATGAAAAATCTGTCATTTTTGTTAAGATTTGGAATTAAAAGGGGAATCCCTTCACTTGCTTATTTCAGAAAAGTGTGTTCTCATCAAAGATGACATTGGTAAGGGAGACCAAGGGTGTTTCCTCATCGTCCTCATGGATAATTATGCTGATCAGGATGAATAATACTTCTAACTTAGGAAAACTCTTTGTACCAAAAATACCCCTGGAAATTCTGTGAAGTTTTTCTTTCAAACACTACTGATCTAAACTTTTGGTGCGTGCTGGAGAGGTTTTAATGTAAAATGAGATTCTCCTGTTGCCATTTCTCACCCTTGTCCATCTCGAGCAGATCTTTGGCTCTGTTTCAGCAGTGGACCAAGGCAGGAAACAAATGATTCTGGTGCACACCTGAAACACAAACCCAAAATACTGTTCTGCATTTTGTCAGCACTCTCAGTGAGGGAAAGTGTAGGTGGTGGTGTTTCATGTTGGTGCTGCCAGTGTTTTGTTTCACAGTGTGCTTGTTGTGCCTACACTTGGCGTTTTCACTTCCCCGTTTCAGATAATCTCTTGTGGCTTCTTGTTTGAATAACAGCTACATTTTTAATGATTTAATAGCTTTGCCTTTCCAGTTCTGTCCATAACTGTCTCTACAATTTTGGGTTTTCTTGGTACAAACCAGTTGTGCAGTTCTGCACATCTGCTGTGTGACCAACAAAACATTATTAAATACATTTATCAATTTTTTCTGTAGCACTGAAATACATTTACCATTTTTGGAGATAGAAGGGCAAGCTTTACTGTCCTGCCATATGAGATGGAGCTGATCCTTTATGCAGCACCATTAGTCACACAGCAGGCAAATCTCATGCCAGTTTTTTTATGAGGATAATTTTTCCATTTTTGCTGTTGCTTAAAATCCAGTGGTTTTGTAAGTTTCTCCTTTCTTGTGCCAAAATCCCTCTTACAAGGTAACGTACACCAAGCTTAAGTTCACAAATCATTCTATAAATGGGAGTGCTCTTATTTTAGGGCAAAGGAGTATATTTGTTTAGCAGTAGCTGTAATTATAGTTAAAAGTTAGAGTGTGAGGTGGGACAGACTATTCTCTTGTATCCCACTGAATAAAACCAGGCATAGTTCACATTTTTGTGTAAGTAGTAGAGTTCAACTTCTGTCACGATATCAGGGCAGAAACTCAGGCTTTATGGGCATCAGGTAATTAATTTATTAGCATTGCTGTGATATTAAGTATCATATGAAATACTCTTGATATTGATTATTGTAAACCTGGCTTAGTGGAAGGTGTCCCTGCCCAGGTGGTTGCAACTGGGTGGTCTTTAAGGTCCCTTCCAACACAAACCATTATGGGATTCTATGATTTATTAGAATGGAATAATTGGAAGAGAGATGTAATGATTATGCTGTATGTTATTAAAGTTATATCACATGGTATAATTTTATACAAGCATAACAAAACCTAATTTAAGAGACTACAAATTGACTTCCATAATATAGAAACCTCAGAACCTTAGACCAGATTTTTGGTTTTCAACTCCCTTTGTTTAAAAGTCGAATTAATTATAAAACTTTCTTTGCTGGCCATCAGGTTGTCCTCAGCATGTGTAAATAATTCCTTCTGGAACAACTTTAACCATTCTTAGCCTATTTCTGTCATTTGTAAACCTTCCTCCATGGGGTTAACAATATCGGGTTTTCAAGTCAACAATCAGGGAACTCCTGAAAGCATGAAAGGCACTGGCGTGTGCAGGCAGGAGTTCCATGGGGACATCATTAACCTGCTGTCCTTTCTTTCCCCCTCCTCTTTGGTTTTGTTTTTTTGTTTTGTGGTAGTCTGACCCTTGGTTGTCGTTGCAGAACTATGGAGGTGCCATGAGACCCCCACTCAACGCTTTAGGTGGCCCGGGGATGCCTGGGATGAACATGTAAGCACAATAATAACTCCGTTACACTATCTAGAAAATATAATTATTTTGCTGTAGAAGTATCATTTGGGATAAATCAGGCAAGGAGAACATGCTTTGATAACTAACAAATGAAATTTTATGAAATGAGCCCATAGTCTCTCACAGGAAGCTTTGCTGTCCCAATAAGTCTGTACAAATACTCAGTTTCTTTCACAGACCAAACTTCAAATATTGGGAATATTTTGTCAGTATAATCACTGAAGAATGCTACAACTAAAGTTCTTCTCTGCAGAATAAATCATTACTTAATTTTAGCAAAATACCCATTGTCTGGAACTATTAAAAAAAAAAAAGATACATTTGAAAGAAGAAGTGGTGATGATTTTTTCTCAATTGCTGTTTTAATTTCCATAATTACATTAATTTCCCCTCTAAACAGAAGAGCTTTATAGATATGAGTGTACCTTTTCAGTTTTTCTGTGTAGTTCTGGGGGTGGATCATCATCTGGTAAAATTAGGAAAACACAGTGATATACTTTTTATTGTTATATTATAGACATGCATTTTTGCTCTTGTTTTTATAGAAAACATAAATAAATTATAATTTTCATTTCAAGTAGAGCTACCATCTTGAAAAAGTAAAAGAGGTGTTGAGATTGATAATAACATCGTAAAAGAATAAACCTAATCCACCATATTCATAATTTATTCTGGTTTCCAGACATACCTTGAGTTTTTGAAGTAAAATCTAAAGTTGTGTGTTACTCTAATCATAGACATTACATATCAGACTCACTAATTCTAGGAGCCTTCCCAAGGGTAGGCATTTATGCTTTTAAATTAAATTGACGTAAAACAAATATTTAGATATTTGAAATTCAGTGTGAGTGTAGTATAAGCACTATAGAGGATTTCCTCAGCAGAAGTCTGAATTATAAGGATAGAAAATTAACTTCCCAAAATAAAATGTGGTAGAAGTAAAACTGAGGATAGATATTTTGAAGGTATTTGTCCACATAAATCAGTGTTTATGTAGGAAAAATAAGAGGTTTCTGGATGACAAAAAGAATTCCTGGCCTACCAAAAGAGAGAAGATGAACAGAAATGCTAATGTTGCAGCATTTAATAAGCATGTTCCATCAAACAACAAAATTGCTGTGATCCGGTTTTCTTTAAATTTTATTTTCAGGACATGAGGGTTTTTCAGAGTTCAGTTAACACTGAAATTTCAGTGAAGACTTGTTGTCTGGTCAGTTCCAACATTCAGGATCAGAGTTCATCAGGGATGGCCCATGGGCAGTGGCAGTGGATGGACTCAGCTGTGCTAAATGTGTTCTCTGTTTTATCCCTTGCAATTTGTCTAATGCTCAGTTCAGGAAACAACAGTGTGAATCATTTAGGGAAATTAAAATTCCAGGAAACAGGATAACTGCACTTAAGGGCTGTTGACTTTTTGTAACCTACAGGCATCTTTACATACCTGTGTATTTTCTTTACATGACAATTTTTCACTCTTCCATTCATGTTTTTGGACCAAAAATGTGTGCCTGCAGAAGCAGCTGCCATTTAATAATCCGTCTTTTTCTCCTTGAAAGGCTCAAAAGGAAACTGCTTTGGTTAAGAGCAGACCATCTGCCAAATATAATTGTGCAGTTTTCTAGGTGAAAACATCTCCTTTGTGGTCAGAAATGGCAGCCTGGGGGCTCATAGGCAGAATTTCAGTCCATGTACTCCAGGAGTGCAGCACTGCTAAGTAATTCTCTCCCAGTCATCAGTAATACTGTCAGATTTCTGTTTGAAACAGCTGATACATAACCCATGTTCTTCTGCAGAATAACTTTATTTTAGCTCTAGGTTTTTAAGCTAAGATTTGGTGTAGCCATTTTTGGAAAACGTCCTGTCTTTATGGGAGAAGAAAGCACCATTTTTTGGAACAAAGAGGCAGATTTCAGGGAGCAGTGTTAAATTTCACTGGTGCTTTTTAACACCCTTTGTGACCTGTAGTGCTGTCTCAAGCACTAAGAATATCTCAGTCATGCCTCAAAACCAAAAAAAGTATGATTTTATCTTTTGACTTCAATTCACAAACTTGTGCCTGGATGTTTAATTGTTTAATTTCCTGATGGAATATATTTGCCCCTTGGGAAACTAAAATTTCAGATTTTTATTTTTCTAAGCACCAGGATTGACATGACAGGACAACTAAGCTGAAATTGGTCCTAGTGGTAAATACTTCATTAATAATAATATATAAATATATTATTATTATTATTATAATATTATTATTATTAATGACTCTGTTGATGCTTGCAAAATAAACATTTATTGAAAGGCAAAAAAACTACAAGTTGGGTTTTTTCAGGTGTGTTTTATAAGCATTTGGCTCCAGAAAATCCATATGGCTTTACAGCAGAATCTACTGCAGTGATTTTTGTGTCTATTCTGAGAGCTGGCCAATAAATTTGAAAATTCTAACAGCTTTTTAGATTAAAGGTGAGTTTCCTGATCTCAGGGTAAATTCCTAAATTTATCTGAGTTACTTAATTGGCACAGAAACAAGTGCAGGGTTTTGGGGTGAAAACAGACTTTTAAGTGTTGTTACAGATATTCCTGATTTCTTTCTTGGAGAGGACGCAATAAACTAAATAATTATAGGAAGAAGAACAATGAGTGGGACTTAAAGAACACTAATATTTCACCGTTTCATGTTAGCATTGGAGAAATTTCTGAATGTTTGACATGCCAAGTATTTCCTCCCAATGAATAAAGCAGAAAAGACCCTCACCAACATTCCTGATTTCCAACATTCCAATAATAACACCAGTGGAAATAAATCAGTTTTCAGTTGATTTTTTTTTTCTTTTGAGCTAATTCCTTTACAGTTTCATCCACAGTGTAATATATAAAATTATAAAAAATGTAAGATTAAGTATTAAATCCTTCAGGCAACATAGGCACTTAATAGTTTTTAGTTTCAGAAGACTTAAAAAAAGGATAGGAAGCTCTATGAAGTCATTAATCAGACATGATTTTTTTTCTCTCTGTTTAAATCTCTCCCCCGTGCCTGGTGAGCTGTGGTGGTTAATGTTGCTTTTCTGCTGCTAATGAGACCAAAATACCATTTTAAATGTGGAAATTTTGTCATCTGCTCTGTTGTCAGGGCCTTCAAGAAGTGATTCTGTCTTGTTTATAAATAACAAGGAGCTCTTAATGCTCCCAGAAATAATTATCGTTACTGAGACACTGTAACTGTAAATATGGAGATTTTACCTCTTGTATGGCTTTGGTTCCCTCAGGATTATTGAGAGGTGAAGCCTCACCCCCAAACTATTTTTCTGAGCTCAGCTGAGAGTGAGAAACTTAAAAGAACAGCAAGAATTGTAGAAAAATGCGCTCAATCTGAAGAGTTTTCTGGTTTTAATAAATGAAATTTATTATTGTTGTTATGATTATTACCATTATTACTGGGTAATTTTTTTGATGTTTTTATCATCATCAACATCATCATCATCTAGGGGTTATAGCAACATATTTTTCATGGCCTGTTCTTTTATAAATTAGATGTTCTCAAAACATGTCTCATATAGCATAATTTTATATTTTATTTTTATTTTTATTTATTTACATTTAATTTATATATTTATTTTTTAGTTTTACTTATTTCTGTTTCCATTTTATAATATATTATCATATATAATATATAATAATGTAATTTTCTCTTTTACGTAGCATATTAATAGCATAATTTCTACTGGTGAAACGTTACTGTATTGCAGTGTTCTAGATCCATAATGAATTGCCTGCATCCTCAGTTCTTTAGAGAGGCTTAATTATGTGAGCAAGATTACTTGTTTTATGACTGAAAGTGTATTTATTTTATGACTTAATATTAATTGCACAGTAAAAAAAATTAATGAACTCAACAACTAATTAAATGGCAGTGCAACACTGAGAGTTCTGCTCTAGCATTGTAACTTGGTGTAGTTATGGTTTATAAACTCACTGTACTTTGAAAAGAACAGACTTCTTCCTTCCCTGGAGACAGATCATTTAGATTTTGTTCCCCAGAGGTGGTCAGAGGACAAGCATGGTTCTGTGTCTCATCATTCATCTTCTGTTACAGGGGTCCTGGGGGTGGCAGACCTTGGCCAAACCCAACCAATGCTAATTCTGTAAGTAAATATTAAACATGTATTTGACATCTTCTTGTATTTAGAGAAATATCCTCGTGTCAGGTCCACCACTTCCATAGCGTAAAGGTTATCCTGGGATTCCCACATGAGCAGCAGCACCCGGTGTTTCTTCAGAAAACACAAAATTTTCATTGTCATTCAGGGATCACACATCATTAGTTTAAAATGTCCATTTTTGGCATTTGCATTTGGATGAGGTGAGTCTGGCTTGTCCTGTTAAACAGTTCTTCCTGTTTTCTCAGTTTTGTTATTTTAATTCTATTAATGACAATTGGGGAAGGGGAGAGCTGAAACTCTTTTCTTTTTCAGGTATGTATGTGATTAAAATGGATATTTTTCAACTGATAGTTGAAATACGTTCGTTCTCTGAAATTAATTGAGTAGTCCAGTAATAGGTGTATTTGTAACAATCAGTGGATTGACAAGTTGTCTATCAAGAAATGTGTATTTGTCAGTACAATTGCTCCTCCTGCATAAGCACTGCCTGGAGCTGCTTTGGAAAGAATAATTGCAAAGGTTGTCATAAAGAAGAAAATCAGATTATTCACAGGATTTCTCCAGATATCCTCTTTAACAAACACCACACTTGAATTTGAAGTGAAAACTGTCCTTGGGGGAAAAAAAAAAAAAAAAAAAAAGATAATGCAAAGAAACAGAGGTGTCTTCTGGGGTGAAAGATATGATAGTTTTCTTTCCTTTTATGGTCAAGATTTTAATCAAAATTATGTATCTATAAGAACGGGCAAATTCATTTCATGCTTGGATGACTCTGAAGTCCTGTGGACTGAAATGCAAGTGTGTGCTGCTGAAGCTTATAAACCTTATAAAGTGTATTGCCTTAATAATATTAAAGCTTTTGATATTTTAATATTTTTATAATTAATATTTTAATAGTGCTGAATAGTGTTTATTTTGATGATGGAGTAATTTCCCCCATAATTTTAACTGTGTGCTTTAATTACCCCAATTAAAAAAATAAGCATTAACCTGCAGCTACGGGGTCTCCCATGTTACTGCAGAGGAAATCACTGTCTTATCTCTGTTGATATTACAGATACCTTATTCTTCAGCCTCTCCTGGGAACTACGTAGTAAGTACATTTGTGTGTGTTTGTTTGTTTGACGTCACATTTTATTTGGGCAAAAAACCCCAGTCCAGATGTTGAGAGGAGCCTCTGTTCATTGGTTGGGAGCAGCACATCTGATCTGTACCGAGGTGTTTTTTCAACCATTCCTGGTACAGATGGAGGTGTTCCTTAGTAGGGCCATTATCAATCTGGTCAGAATTGCCCTGAGTGCCTTTTGATTCCACCAGACCTTTTTGTAACTAATACAAATGTATGGTCTTCAGTAAAAATGGGCAAAAAACCGCCTCAGCTTTCCAAGTAACACAGCGTTTTGTCTGAGCTTCTGAACTTCTCCAGGAAAAGAATATTTATGTATAGCGCTGATATTTGTCTCTGTCTCCAGAGACTGATTTTGTTTATTGTTTCAGGCTCTTCATTGTTGTAGTTACTGTTGTGCTTGGATTATTTGTGTGTCTGATGAACTTTCTAAGGAAGATTGTTTGTATTGTTTTTATCACGTGTATAGAACCGGTGTCACAGGGTAATGGGGCAGAATTACATATTTAAAAGCAATTTATCTTGTCCTTTATTTATGCAGTTAGCTGTGGGAAAGATTATGATTCCCACAAGTGTCCATAACTATGGTCCTCCTTTTGCCAACATGTTTAGGGGAAACAGCCCAAACCTGCTGATCTCCAAAGCAGTTCTTTTAACTCAGAACTTCACAAATTTCTTTCTTTGTGGAAGAGGTTTGTGGATTCGCTCTCAACATTAGTGACCAGTTATTATTCGAGATTTTAAAGGTATTTAGGGAATATTTGGCTTCATGGAAAGCAAGTGTTTGGGGATGAGGGAAGGCCAGAGAACTCCTAAGAGAAGGCTTTTTGTCAAAGGATTTGTGATCTGGAAGTACACACTTCAAGAACTTCATAAAAATAATCATTTTACAATATATTAATATATAAGAATTTCTAGAAATATATGAATTTATATAACATATATAAATGCACAAATATAGAAAATATATCAATATAAATATATTCTCAGGGTGAAAATAGTTGATACCGGAAGGGTTTATAAGAGAAGAAAATCAACAAACAATGAAAGTACATGCAAATTTACAATTAGAGGCAAAAGTTAATGAAGACAAGTAACTTTTCTGATAAATGGTCAGTGGTTTCCACATGTCTTTATGTGATGTTGAAAAATACATAGAGAGAGAGACATTAAAAAAATCAGTGAACTTTATTGCACAGGTATATGGATAAAAAGCATGTGGGTAGCATTTCATGCCTAGATATGGATAAAATATGGATATATTTGTATGGATAAAAGCTTATGGATGAAAAGTATAGGGATAGATACCCTGAAAGCAGACAGGAACAACCAACCCCTTATATTTGCTGCCACTGAAAAAAAATATTCCCCTCTGAAATAGTGTATCTACTGTTTTGAATTATAACAAAATATATAAAGTAATAGTCACATGGCAATGGAAAAATAATGTATTACTAGAAATCTGACTGGTTTTTATTATGGAAAGGCAGTATTTAACTTTTATTGACATTTTTACCACAGTGGAAGTTGGTAGTTTTTCATGTTACTTAAAGATATTAGCTCTGCAAACATAGGAAGCAAAATGTTATGGTTCTGTTCTTACTAAATGATTAGGATTATTAGAATAAAATTCCTAGAGGAATTCTGTAAGAACCTTAAAACTCCTGTTTAACAAGCAGAGCGGTTTGTGTTCTTAGTCCTGAACAGATTTGTGATCCAGCTTTAAACAGGTGTTCCTCGATGTTGTGGGTGTGCTGTTTTGGTTTTTTTTTGTGTGGGTTGTGTTTTGTGTGTTTGTGTGTGTGTGTGTGTGTGTGTGTTTGTTTGTTTGTTTGTTTTTAATCTTTGATTTCAGGCTAACTGACATTTTTTACTGTCTCCAGGGTCCCCCGGGAGGTGGAGGGCCACCAGGAACACCCATCATGCCTAGTCCTGCAGGTACTGAAATGTACTTGGAAATTATAAAACATAAGAGATTTTTAGGAAGCACACAAATTATATTTTTTAATAAAGAAACAGTTAAAAATAGATTATTTGATTTATATTTTCTGCATCAGGTTTTTCCTGCTTGCTGTTGTCTGCAGCACTAGAGGGCAGGAAACTTTCTTAACTGGCCATAAAAACTTACCACACCATAATATTATTTCCATTAAATACAATTCCACAGATTTTTGTTTTTTAAGAAAAAGCAACCTAAGGTAAAGATGTTTTGAAAGTTCTATTTTCCAAAGTGTGAAGACACTTAGGAATTGACCACCCATGAATTTTGCCAAGATATTTACTCTCCCCTGAGACAAACAATTCAGGGATTCCCACAGCCCATCCATCCCATATGTATTTTGACAGGAGCCAGCAGGACATGGGCAGAGCCAGGGATGTATCTTGGATAAACTTTTTTCCTACCTCATTGAATATTAAAATATATAAACTTAAAATGCTAATTAATGTAAACTTAAAATGCTGATTTTATTTTAGACTGAAAGCCTTTTGTTTCCCCCTTTTCCTTGGACAGCATGTTTGAATGTTCTAGTGATATACAATGCTCTGTATATAACTCAATCATTTGCTTTAATTAATGCTTAGAGAGTTATCTTGGGAAGATGAAGCCATAGATAAAAACCTTGATTTAAGTTCCCTGTGTATACACAAATGCATTGGACGTGGAATGGCCTTGTGCAGGATCTGGGTACAGAGTGCTGAGCTCTCTTTATTCTCTCTGCAGAAAAAAATTATTTTCCAGGATTGCCAATATTTTCTTTTAAATCATACTGTGCCCTTAGGGATGTATTTTGACTTCCTTAGGTTTTCAACATTTTGGGGTTTTTTTTTGAAGCATTACACCACACTGCACTGTGAAGATCCATCAGACAAAGCCTCCTTCAAGACTGAGGATTGTTGCACAGTGTCCCACTGAGGAGCTGGATATACCCAAAATCAAATAGACTGACAGGCATGAGAGTAAAAAACTTTCACTAACTCACAGTCTATGTAAGGAAGAGTTGTTTATCTTTTATTACAGATGGAAAACAAATTGCAGGAGGCATTGGTAAGAAACAAACTGCTGTTTTATAGAGAATATTGAAGATGAGTGAAGTAATTTAGGACTCCAGGAAACAGCATTATGGAATTAAATAGTTACAGATACTTGGTGATTTATAAACCTTTTAACAGTCACGCATAAAAACTAGAGCCCAGAAGTAGTCACTGAGGGACCGTGGCAATTTTTTTCTTTTCATAGCTCTGTTGTGTGGCAGCAATGGGTAGAAAGGGAATAAAATCTTCCATTATATTGCCACTGTGTTTCAGGGATCCAGGCATAGAAATTACAGGAAATGTATTAGGTGAGTAGTTTTATTGAAAAGTGTATATTAGCGCTTAAAATAATGTCTTATTACAGATTCAACCAACTCTGGAGACAACATGTACACTTTAATGAATGCTGTACCTCCTGGACCCAACAGACCTAATGTAAATATGAGTTTAGCTGTATATTTCTTTGAATTATGTAGCCCTTTGTTTATCCAAACATTGCATTTCCATCAGGTGTCATTATTGCTAAGTGTTCCATTTTTATGGGTGGGCCTTCAGTTGCGGACCTTTTGGGAAAAATCACCAGTTGAACTTAAAAATAATTTTCTATAAATACTGATAAATCATTATGCAGTAAATTGTAGATTGTTTGGCATAATGTTAATGTCTTTAATTTTGTGAAGAGCTAAATTTAAGGTTAATATCTGAAATTGGACAGCAACTCAAGTTACAAAGGTAATGTGGCGCAGTCAGGGTTTGAAAGCTGTTAATTAATGATTTAATAATTCAAGGGAGTAATAAAGTTCCCTGTAACTTCAATGGGAGTAGGGCTGGGTCAGCACCAGCAAGTTGGAAAGTTGTACACATAGCGTTGAACTAAATAATAAATTATTCCTAAGTTATAGACCAGCCTACAGAGATGACTATCTCCAAAAATCATTAAAGTGACCAAAAGCAGTGATGGTTTTCTGGCTTCACAGGAAAGACCTTCTCTTAAAGGTCTGAATGGAACTTGAGACTCCCTTCCCATTCAGAGTTGAGACTGTAAATTTTTCCTTTACTGTTTTTTTTAATTCCTCTTGAGGAACATTTTCCCTTTATTAGGTTATCTAAAAAATATTTGTACGCTTTTTAATGTCTGCTCCTTTTGTAGTTTCCCCTGGGACCAGGGTCAGATGGGCCAATGAGTGGACTGGGTGGAATGGATTCACATCATATGAATGGATCATTAGGTAATGACAGTAAATATTGACAACATGGTGAATTCAGTGGCAGTGTTATTTTCAGTGACTGGTTCTTGGAGTTCTGTGGATGACAGTGTGTAAAAATCTCCTGAAAACTGGAAAAGCTGAAACAAAGGGAGAAATTTAAAGATAAGATTAGGGGGAAAAAAAAATCATCACCTCCCTTAGCAGACTTTTTTGAACAATTAAAATTCATCAGTATGCACCTATCTGCTAATAAAATTACATCTTTTTAAAGAATGTCTGTGAAATTATAGATTACTTTGCAGCCTTTATTTATCTATTTCAATACTGAAATGGATTCTTGGTTTAATTAATATTGATGCACATTGCATTCAGATCAATGAAAACCTGTGTAAAAGGCAGCCACACCTTTTTTTCTTTCACTTTCTACATCCTGGTTGCTTAGCTAAAGTGAAAAATTAAATTGAAACAGTTGTGGAAGGATTTTACATGTACCTACCACGCGCTTATTATTTTCATGGACCTCTCCAGCTTTTTGACCACAACCCTTTTGTTGGATATCTGTTCACAGCTCTTGATGATTAGAAAGAAATATTTTCCCTATTTCCACCAAAAATTATCCTTTGGACCATGAGAAAAGAACTCTTGAAAACATCTATGTATATGATGATTTTATAGAGAGGAGAAATTGTTCTCCTTCTCAGCTTTAATTTGCCTGGCTGTATCAAATAGTGACCTATTTCAGTCTTCTCCCTCAGCTCCATTTTTTGATTGTTTTCCTGGGATACTCTTCTAGTTTTGCATTCAGTGGTCTTCCAGAATTTGTCTTTCCTGAAAATAGGTGTCTTTTGCTGCTAAAATAAGCTTTTCTTGCTGCATCCATCCTAAAGTTGCATTTCCTTTATTCTTGGCTTTACCTGAGAGCTACAGCATGTGAAAAAAATTGTCATACTGATTATATTTAATTTCATTTGGTTTCTGTTACTGTAGTTCTCAGGATCATCTGGTTACTTCTAAGAGATACTGTCATCAGTATGTGTAATGCAGCAAAAATTGATGTAACCCCAAATTAATTGATTGAATTGATTATATTGACTATAAACTTTTACTAAGTGGGTATGGTTTAAAGTATTTCTGATACACTATATATTTTCTATGAAAAAAGTACAGGATTAACCTAATTTCAAAACTGATTAATTGTCTGTTTTAATTTAAGGTTCAGGAGATATGGACAGTATTTCCAAAGTGAGTATCAGATCAAATATTTGGAATTTTTAGAATGTTCCACTCTAAACTATTTTCCCTTGTCTTTGTTATGAAGCTCTTTGTAATGCACCTTTATTTTATTATATCTATATTATATCTAAGTGTACCCAGTCCATAATCTGATTTATCATGTTGTAGTCTTCAGTACTATTAAGATAAATGAAAACAGTTCTGATAGTCAATTCTAGTTAACTATAAATTTGGGACAGTGTCTTTAGGATGTTGCAGGATTGCTTTTGTCACCTCTGTAAGGTAGTGTTAACATCCTTATCATTAGGTTAAGTTCCCAAAAGCTGGATTTAGTAGTTTCAGGAGAAGTGCTATTTTGATATCACAACCATTAGTTGAAAACGGTTGTGAGTTTAACCTGCAGGGGGTTTGCATCTACAGAAATAATGCTGTGCTTGAGTGCATCACTTCTGTAAAAATAAAACTGTTACATACGTGATCATCATTAACTTGGGAATTAATAAGCTTGTTTGGTAAAGTGGCATAAATAACAGGGACCCTGTATTCTTATATTTTGTTACATCTTCAGACTCTGCAAAAAGTTAAATGATGGATGGAAATGACCACGTTGCCCTGGTTGTGCTGAGTTGTGCAGTGATGGATTCAGTAAAATCCTCCACTGAGATAATCACCATACAGCACCTTTTTAATTAATGCCCATGGTTTTTCTTCAGTATCTGATTGCAAACTGCAGCATTTTTAAGGAAAAAAAAAGCCCAAGCAGTTCCGTTTCCATGGGATCATTTTTAAAGCTGTTATTCAATTCACAGGTATTAAGTATGTGCTAGTACAGGTGGCAGGAGCCCTGAAAATTTGGGTACAAAAATTTACCTGGAAGTCTCTTAACGTGTTAACCTTAATGAATAACGCATGGGAATCACATTTGCTCCATGTCTGTTCCACATAACTGAAAGAAAAATGCTGCTAATTTCAGGTGTAGAGAGTTGTCCATGGAAAATTAATTCAGTCAGAATCAGTACAGCTCACAGAATCTACAATTTTCTACAGAAGATTTTGATTTAACTGGCTGAATGGCAGAACATAACGATTTTATGAAGTAAATTGGAGGGGATGGGAATAAATTAAAGGAAATTATGCATATTAAATAAACATTAATAACCAGTGTTTATTGCAAGGCCCATGGAATTTCTGCAGGCATCAAGGACACACTTCGTTTGGAAAAGACCAGTTAGTGCTCCTGTGCTGGACCCCAACTGGCCATAAAAACAGCCTGGAGTCACTATGAAAGGGATTTTGTGAGGAATTTGACCCTTTAAGACTCCTGTGCTGTAGCAGTGGCAGAATTTCAAAGCTTAATGCCACACAGAGCAAGATAAAATAGGGGCAAATTCCCCAGGAATGAGCAAAAGTGCAGGAGCATCATTAAAATAAATGTGACAAGGCCTTAGTGGGATTTAAACTTTATATTCATGGATTGTAAGTCCAGAGGGACTGACGGTTTTGTAGTATGACCTCCTGCATCACATAAGCAACAGGGCTTCCCTGAATTAATTCCTGCTTAAGGTACAGTAACTGTAGTTGAGCTAAAGCAATAGATATCAACGTTTTTGATCTGTGGCTTCCTAAATATTTGCTATATACTGGCTTCACTCAATAGCAGACTTAATTGTCTGATGTTAATAAACTCATTAGGCTCTTAATTGTCATGTGCGTAATTAATTTTGTATTTATATTGATACTGCATTCGAGTTTTTCTGGGTTAAAAAAAAGCCAAGGGAAGAACTATGATAGATGTAAGCACTTGATCATGAAGCTCATGACTTCACTCCTCCCTTTCTCTGACTTTTCTTTTTCCATCACGATTCTTCTAAACATCCCTGTCTTTAACAGGCTGTGCTCCAGGCATGGTAGGGGACTGCAAATCAGCTTTGTAAAGGCACCTGACTAATTGTAGTGTGTGCAATATGTGAGCTGTTGACTCAGAATAATTTCTGTGACAATTATCTTGTTTAACCCATTCTCTTCCTGAATGTTGCAGAGGTAGTTGTGCACTTCGGTAAGAAAAGGAAAAAAAAATATTTTCAGGAGTCTTTGGGTTGTTATTATTTCAGTAAATTATGACCACAGTGAGCAAAGACTCCAAGGACAGGCCCTTGAAAAGGTCTGTGCAGACCAGATCCATCCTGTGTCTTCCTCTGAGTACCTATTTCATAACTCACATGTGTCAAGGCACACGCTCACAGACATGGCTGCATTTAACCACATGATTTAATGTTGTGGCAGAATTTCCTCATACACCTGCTGCAGCCTTTTATAGATTTTCCTGACTTCAGCAGAAGCGAATGCTGGCTATGACCTGAAAACAAGAGTTACAGGTAAACAATCCTTGCTTCAGGGAAGAAAATATTACTTTACAGGCTAAAATTAGTGAGTGAATCATGCAGAACCCTGCAGGGGCTGATTTTTCATCCTTGAAAGCCCTGTTGCATTTCACAGTGCACCTGAGTGCACCACAATGCTGAGTGAAACATGTTTGGTACATGTGGTGAGGCTGAGAAGTGAACTGGAATCTTCAACACTTTATATGTGCTTTAAATTCTTATTTAACAGAACTCTCCCAGTAATATGAGCATGAGCAACCAGCCTGGCACTCCCAGAGATGACAGTGAGATGGGTGGAAACTTCCTAAACCCTTTCCAGAGTGAGAGCGTAAGTATTTCATTACACTGGTCAGTGGCTTTTTTTACTTTGTGAACTTTTATTTCTGACTTCTTGTTTTAGAAAACAGAAAAACTACCAGTTTTGTAGTGTGCTTGTGTTGCATGTTTTTTAATAGCTTCTAAATTTGAATAAAAAACAAAAGTTGGGAGGTGTATGTTTACTGCAGAAACCATTTTTCTGGGTTAAGAGGTCAGTTGTCAGTGAAAGAGCAGGGTTTACACTGAATATGTGATTAGAGCATCAGTAGATTCTGTGTTGTAAAGATGCCATGTGCTATTAGAGCCATAAAGGCAAAGGTTCCCTCTAGCGTTCGTTCTGGGGAAAATTATGCTTTTTTTTTTTTTTAATGAATAATGCTTGAGGCGGTAAAATATATATATATATTTTTATATATATATAAAAACACATTACAGACCAAGACTGTGGTATTTACATATTCATGTGCCTGAAGCTGGGTTTCTGTATCCATGTTTAGGTCCCTAAATAGGAGTAGGTCACTACTAAGTGCTGACCTGAAGCTCAGGAATTATAGCGAGTAAACAGCTTCTGTTAGATCTCAACACAGTTAAACTCCAGGGCAGATTTCATGGGAATCAAATTTAGAGGGTTTTTTTTGGGTTTTCTTCTTTCACTAGGGAAGAGTTTCTGCATGTTAGCTGTTGGTGGGCACACATTCAGGTTGTGTGGAGTGTTAGAGAAAATTGTCTTGTACAACCCAAAAAGACCAGTGTTTCACTGTCTGCCAAAACCACAGAGCCTCCATTAAATGTGATCCCCCTTCATGGTAGCCCCTGACTCTCAGTTTGGCTGAGGTTGGTGTGCTGAGGGCAGGCAGGCCAGGTCACCAAGACCTGGGTCATGGGAAGAAGAGGACATCAGTTTTGCTCCAGAGGAAATCAATGTTCTCAGACACTTACTGGATTCTAGGTGCTCCTGGATGCTGTTTTCCTGCCTGGAGGAATCAGAGACCCAGTTTTCTCAGGGTTTGTTGAGTTGTGTGCCTACAAGGCTTCTGTTACACAACCCAGGTGCACTCTGGTTTGCTCTAGGTACTGGTTCCTCTCCAACACAGGTCACACTGTTGTCCTTGGGAACTACCTTCTTTCTGATTCATATTTTGCCACCTGGCCACTCATAAAAGGCATTATTATAAAGTCCTTTCTCAGGCATATTGGCTGTTCCCTAAGAGTTTTTATTGGGGTGAGGAAAAGTGCTTGGCTAATAACAAGTTAAAAATCCTAAACACCTTGAGACTGTCAGTTGATTCCTTGTCCAAAGTGTTTCCCCACTTGAACAGGTACTTTGCTTTAAGCCCTTTGAGCTGGAGTCCATTCAGTGTACACTACATTCCAGTGTACACTACATTCCAGTGTAGCTCACATGACAGAGAAGACCCACCCAAAACACTTTTTCTATATACTTGGCCACTTGGAAATGGCCAGCTTAAAGCTCAAGCATTGGCAGGATATTTATGGCATACCTCGTTTTACAAAAGCAAATTTATCTTTGTGTTTTTCAATTACTTTTCAAAATGCTGATTCTTCTTGCACTTGAACATTTTCCTCTACTTAGAGGATTCTAGGCCAAATTAAGTGCTTCTGCAGTCCATAGCTTGCAATTCAAAAACAAATCAGGTGTGCAGCTTTTCTAGGCATTGTGGTGTCCCGTTGATTATTCTAATGAAGTACTGCTAACCTGAGGGCAGCTGTAGCTTGTGTGAGGGCTGCAATTTAATTTGTGTCACTGTAATAATGTGACTGTGTGGTGATTGAATTTTTGGTTCACGCCAAGGAGAGTGGCCACTGGTCCCAAAGTCAGCATGGAATGACCACTGGTCCCTGATGCAGCTTGCCTCTTAAAACTGTCAACACAAAATAATACAGACTAAAAGCCTAATTTAATCACAGTCATACATATCTTTAATCCTTTCTTCTCACAAAGTAATGAAAAGCTCCCCAAAATATTTCTGTGGTTCAGCTAACCATAAATGCAGCCAGTCTGCCCAGCTAAATTCCCCCAGTAGCCAACACAGGCCAGGAAGGGGTGTGGAAGGCAGCAGTGATGTTTTGGTTCATCACATCACCCAGTTAACACCAAAACAGCCTCCAAGGGAGTTGCCTTTATCAGCAACAGCTTTATTTATACATGAGAGAAGTACAACGGTAGTTATGATGCCACAAAGTGAACTGCAGCCTTAGCAAAGGCTGCAGCACAAATTGAAGAGGAAACTCAAGGAGTGAAACCATTGCTGTGGTGTGGACGTGGTTTTGGTTCCCTGGGGTGGGGGAGAAGAGGTTGTTAAAATGTGGATTGCTCTCTTTGCAGTACTCCCCTAGCATGACAATGAGTGTGTGACCCGCTCACCAGTGTCACCATGAAGACCACAGTGAGTTGGCCCTCTCCAGAGAGCTACTGCAGAAGAAAATTGCTCGTCCCAGTGTACAGTTTAACTAAAGGATCTCAGACACAATCAGACCCACCTGGCTTGTTTTTCTTTTCCTACCATCTCCCTCGTTTTGTCAAGGAAGTGGGTCCCATGCTTGAGACAACTGTAAAGAGTGCTGTGACAGACCTGCCCAAGGTGGAACTGCAAGATTGTCTGTGTGTGACACATGTGGGTTGACGTCGTGTGTGTGTGTATGTGTGACACAGAAACACACACACACACATCCAGACACCCACAGGACATTGTAAAATAGTATCACATCACATCTTAAGTAGAAATGAGAAGTAGGGACTTCTATTCCATCTTTTTTTTTTTTTTTCACATTTACATTTTAATTGTTAAAATTTGCTTTCCCTGTCCCCTCTTGAACTGTTCTACATTGCATATATCACTGCTTTATAAGTTATTTTTTAAGTTGAACTCAAATGATAAATTCTTTTGATTTTGTTAATGTCTGCCATTATGGATAGGAATAAAATTGCTTATAAGAGCTTTCATTAACTTGTGTTTGATACCAGCTACCCTGTGAATCACAACTTGTACTGTCTCAAGAAATAGAAGAAAGCTCATCTTAATTTTTTTGAGAAATTGAATAACTTTCACATAGTTTGGGGATTTTTTTTAATACTTTGCCTTTAAAAAAAAAAAAAAAAGAAGCACTGAAGGTTATTTTCTTCTTTAATTGAAGCCTAATATCTGCAATATCTATTTTAAATGGAAGCCTGAATTTGATACAAGCTTCTCAGTTTATATAGAGTACTATAAGGTTACTGTAAGTGAGCTCCAATTGCTTTAGAATCTAGCAATAAAGGACAGGGCTTCCCCTGCCCTTGGAAATGAGTTTTCTATTTAGCATGGTTTTCTGTAGGGGTGGTAGTTAGTGGAAATACAGTAGAGTCCTTATCACCAAAACCCTTTCTAACAACTTACAATTATGTTTTCCGTTTTCAGTGATTCTCAAACAAATAGTAACAGTTCATGCTCCTAATTATAAACAGCATTTCACAAGCCCATTCAGTGAATCAGGTCACCATGCTGCTGCTTGGGTGTGTGTTTTCCACCATGTCTGCCAGAATTAATTCCCCCAAAACTTTCCAGTCAGCAGCCTTTTTTTGAGCCAAAATGTTGCAGTACTTTTTGCCACGAACAGAAGAGGAACAAAGGTCTGGGCCATTTTAAGAGTGGGACAGCCTGTTTGGTGTGAAAGCTGGGAACAGAAAGGTTTAGAAAAGGTCCTAAAGGAAATGCTTCTGGAAGCCATCCATGTATCTTCAGGCAGAGCTCTGAAACCAAGATTATGGTACATATATTTAATTCCTAGTGATTCACAGCTCCCCCCAAGAAAACAGAAGTTTTCAGTTTGTAGTGATCAAAAGGGTGATGATCAGCAATGTGGGCACAAAGTGGCTCAGCAAAAATTCAGGCTACAGACAAAAAGCAAATTCCCCTCCTTGGACTTAGAGATAGAAGAGCCACTTAGAGAGGAGGAGCAGTTTTGGGGTGTGGTATGTCCATGTGCAAGGGGATTTTTTTTTATGAATTGTGATAAGCATATGGGACGGGCTTGTTGTGATGGCAGCTGCATGTACCGGGATGCGTAAGGAATACTACAATCTCCTAACTCATTTTTATTTCCATGTGTATATATGTGTATATAATATATGGAAATAAAAAAGATATAACACTTCACTCTCTTGTTAGGGCTATTCAAAGATGAAATGCTCAGAGGCTTAAAATTATGTTAAAGTATCAAAGATTCTGGTAAGCTTTACCTTTTGGTAATAAAAACTGCTTTGATTAGTTGAAAACATCAACTATATAGTCATTTTATGGTTTTGTAGACTGTATTCCCAGTGATTATGAAGGTCATATTCATCTGCTTCTCTTTGGATAACACTTTGTTGTGGTCTCCAAAGATGGAGACACTACTGACTTGAGTTAGAAACACAAAATCAAGTGTTAATTTCCTCAGACCCTTTGTTGTCGTCACTCACACCACTGGTGTGTTCCCAGAGTCCAAGTGTCCTTGCAGCCTGTGTTGACACCTGTATTATCCATGGTAGCCTTCCAGGAAGGACCTGGGGACTCTTTTCTGCCCAGGTTCAGTCAAGTGATGTCACTGGCTCCTGGACTGAGGTAGATGGGGGGCTGTGAATCAGGTGCCAAAGCCTGTTCACACCCCAGATAATTGTCCTCTCGGACACCTTTGAAGGGTGAAAGTCTGACCACCAAAGCTGTCAGGGAAGCCCCTTGAATGGAATTGCCAACGTATATTGGATATTGCTATCAAAATATGGTATCCTCATTTTTATACAAAAGTAAAATGTCCTTTCAGGCACCTAATTTACTTGGTGTGTCCCGCATTTCTCATAACCACAGAGTCCCACAGACAGCAGCTCTTTTTTTTGTTATTGTTTTAAATACGCAGTGGGCTTTTTGCTTGTTCGTTTTTCTTTCTTTTGCTTACAAATCCTTGTAGGGTTTTCATCATATCTGGAGTATCAGTGTGGAAAGAAAGACTATTCCCAAGCCCTGGGCTTTTGCTCCTATTTATGTTTCTTATGCTCTAGATATCAACAATGTAATTCCTGTTTGTATCTGTCCTTGTGCAACAGCATTATTGGTAATGTCAGAACTTGTCCAACTCTGGGAGCAATTTTATTTTAAGTGGTGCAGGATAGTGTTTTTTTCTCTCAGCTTTTAGATAGATTTTGCTCTTTAATGTAGAAATAAATAACGGTGAATCTGTAAATGGGTCTTTCAGACAAGGTTAAAGAAGCCTTTTTAAAAAACAAAGTGATTAGAGCAGCAAAAATAGGGAGTAGGGCATCTCTCATACTGTGAGAACTCTGGCAAGTATTCTGGCCTGAAATCAGCTGAAATTGGGATTCACTTGTGAACTTCACAGTGAAACCAGTATTTAACATGCAGCATAAACCAATGAAAATGAGTATTCTTACCCAGATCTATCTGCACATCACCCAGATTTTATCACCATGTCTAAACCTTGTACAGGCAAGAACAGAGCTTGGGGCAAGGAAGAAGCTGTCTGAATCACAGGTAAAAGCACATGGCCTGACATGTGCATCAACAAAATACCCAGATAATTTGTTAACTCAATAACTCAATGTATGCATTGAGTTATTTTCTTAATTGCCTGAGCAAGAGGAAGATCTGCAGTTGCACTCAAAAAAAGTGCCATTTTTTATTTGGTTGCAGAGCCCTAGCAGGTTCAGTATTGAACTATTTATTCCTTTCTTTCCCCCCCTTACCAGTCAAAATGATTTTTCAGCTGATACCTGTTGCACCTAATTTCTATTTCTCATATCAGTTAATTATTTTGGAGTGTTTTCTTCTGTTCCCAGTCAGCCCTGATCTGTTGTTATGATGGCTAAATATGGACTGAATTCTTCAATATTTGACCCTACACATTAACATTTCAATAATGTAAGATATAGCTTAATAATGTAAAAAGAACGGGTAAATTTTTTTTTCTTTAAATTCACTGCAAGTGACAATATAACTGTGGCTCCTGTATTGCTTGGACCTTAAGGATAGGAATCTTGACAAAGTACAGTTCTCAAATAAACCCCAAAGAATTATTTCAGCAGTGACATCTCACACCAAGGATGTAATTCAGGATTTAATGATCCAAAACAACTATAAAAATTAAAAGAGAGATGAGTTAGTTTTATATTTTACTGTATGCAGCTCTCTTTCCAGTTATTATTGGCACAGTCCTATAGGCTGCTGCTCGTGCTGCTGAAACTTGGATGAAACCACTCACATAAGGTCATTTTTGGGGTAGGACTTCACCCTGATCTGGGTCAAATCTATAACTTGCCTAAGCTGTGGCATTATTTGGTAGATGTGTAAACTGAGTACTTTGAACAAAATACAGAGGGTCTGTTGAAATTACTGAAATGATGTTTCAACCTGAAAAAAAAAAAAAGGAAAAAAGTATTTAAAATACTGCTTTGAGTGCATGTTTGCATATTGTCTATATACTGGGAACAAATTACAGTACCAAATTTAGAGATAAAAATGGTCTAGAGCTCAAATTTAAGTCTTTCCTAAGCAGACATTATTTTAAAGATGTCACCAATGCAGGAGCATGTTCATGTGTCAATACTGACATGCAGTGCAGATTTGGCTTTCTTCTGTTTCTTACTTTGTTAGAGCTTTGTTCACTTTGTTCACTACTACATTGACTGTTTTTGTGAATTTGTCCTTCCACCTTGTTTTCAATTGTGCAGCCATAGTTTCCCCAACACAGCCAACAGCTTTGCAGTTTTAGTCCAAACTTCTCTTTGGTCGCTGTTCTTCATTTAAGCTTGAAGTGTTTAAGAAAGCCTCTCATGTAATGGGAAAACTTGCCATAAAAATGTATAAAGGTTTTCTTGGGTACATGTTTTCACATTTAATAAAAAGGCAGTTTTTGATTATAATTTGAAGTGGTCAGTTTCTAGCCACTATTTAATTTTTGTGGGCAGAAGAAATTGAGAGAGGAAAAAAACCACCTTTTTTTGGTTTTTGGTTTGGTTTGGTGTTGGTGTTTTTTTGTGGTTTTTTTTTGTATTTGTTTGAATTCAGCATCATAAATGTTTGCTGAAAGATGTGTTTTTTGGGGGAAATCAGATCAAAACCACATTTGCTGCCTAGTTTTAAGTAGTACAGGAGGACTTGGTCTTGAAAGCTCCTGCCATATCCCCAAAAGTGTATCTCTTGACATCTGATTTGTGTGGCTTTGTACGAGCCTGATTCACAAGCAGTGATTTAATTTGTCTGTCCTGTGTTTTCAGTATGTCTTGTGGGAGGTCCAGGGTTCTGTGGTCTCAGGAGAGCGACTGAGGGGTCGAGCAGGCTTGTTCCCAGGGTCAGGGGGTTCAGGACCGGGGGATTATCCACCAGAAACAAGATGTTCGTTCGCTACCTCGCTGTTCTTTTGAGAACTTGCACAACTCTTCTTGCCAGTAGGTTCTGGGGATCCTTTAAAATTTTACATTGCTGAAACAAGAAGCTTAGTTTTGCTAAGAGAAAATCCTGGCAGTTTTTAGCAATGGTTTTCGTAGGGAAACAGCTCAGAACATGGAGATTTAGAAAGGTGATGTGTTTTCTCAGTATCCTGGGTGTGCTAGGAAATAAATAGTACAATTTAGGAGTTTGGGCTGTTACAGAGATAACTGAAATCATCAGTAATTGCTTTTGATGGGAAAAATTATTGGCTGTGGAACAACTGCTCTGATCCTTGAGGAGTGAACTGGATGTGAACTGGATGTTTTAGGCTTTTTTTTCTATTGTTTAACCTTCATGTTTTATCCTCTCTCATTTGGATTTCCCATTAAATGTACTGTGCCAGATCTTTGCACAAAAATAAGAACATTTTGCCCAATAAACATATAGAAAGTTTTCCGCATCTGTAACTACAGCTCTGCTGTAGAGAGTTTATTTCATTATAGAGACTTTTGAGCATAAAAACAGATAAGGTGTGGCAGTGCAGCATCCAGAGAGCTGTCACTGCTCCAGATCAGGAAGGCTAGCATCCCACAGACTCCCAAATTAGGTGAGACGGTTCCTAAAAATGACATAAAATAGCTTGAAATAAAAACTGATTTTTGGCATGCGGATTGGAGGAAATAAAATCCCAAATACAGGATGTATTTAATTGAGGTAGAAATTCACTAAAGCCATCTCTAGCAGGAGCACAGAGCACATCGAGCAACTTAGAGGGAAAGCAAAGCTAAATTGTGTTGCTAACGTCTTGTCAATAAGCATAACATTCAAAAGCAGGTATAAGCTATTTTTTGTTTTCATTTTTCAAGTCTATTTTAATTTTTCTGATTAACTCATAGTTTTGATTTGATTTGAATTTACATTAATGGATAAGGAAGAGAACACAAGTTCCTAAACTAGAGCTGGAATTACAGACATGAAATAGTGGCTTGAGTAAAGCTGGAGCTTTCTGTTAGTTAAGAATCAAGTAAATTTTTATATTATTCTTTTTCCAGGTCAAAAAGCATCCAAACAATAAACATTTTCAGCCTTGTTGTGGCTGTCTAAAGAAATGTGAATCAAAATGCTATGCTCAGAGACCAGTTTTCAGGGCTTTTTTTTTTTTTTTTTGTGGCAAGTATCCCCTTGCAGTGCATCTATTTTGTGCATGTTTGTCTAAAACTACCAAAAAAACTCACCTTCTTTTTTTCTGAATTTCTGTACATACATCTGGTTCTGGTGGGAAGAGCAGGAAGATTTGGTAGCTGGTGGGTTAGCATATTTATGTGGATTACTTAAAGCATTAGTAAACTATTAACAACTCTGTTCACATTGCACAAGATACTCTGTGTAGTCTACTGCTGGCATTATAACCTCGGTGATCAGTGCATATTCTGTAAATTCCTGTAGGTTTTGTGTAAGAAATCTTGTCACCACTGCTTACTACTGTAAATTCTTGTTTTGAAGCAGGAGGTGGCATTTAATTGTACAGCCATGTGTATTATATACTACAGCAGTCCTTTGTTCTGTCCTCTAGACTTGCTGTCCACATAGAGTTGAAGCTCTGTTAAGCACGTGTAGTGGTTTCAGAATTTATTTCAGACAGCAGATCTATAAGCCATTTACAGGAATATTAAATGTAATGTAAGAGAATCCAACCCAGTTTGTACCCTTTCTTGAGAGCTGGGGGTTGGATTTTGGCAGGCAGCTGCAGGTCAGCGGGCTCCGTGGCATCCCTGCTGCGGGTGCCTGCACACCTGGGAGGTGTCACACCTGGGCAGGTGTCCCCTGGCAAAGGGGTGCCCCAGGCACAGTGTCTGGGCAGGCTGCTGCCTTACAAAGACGTATGAGATGGTGTCTTTGTTTTTTTCCAAAAACTGCATCAGTGCCAAGACTGAAACCCATCTTTGAGGGCATGCAGGAGGTGCGGTGCTGCCTCCCTATTGTGTCCTCCTCCCCACCCACCACAGGCTCCACCTGAGGTGGTGTTTTAAGGAGAATTTAACTCTCTGTCTGTTTGTCGAGAGAGAAAAATAACCTGAACTCTTGGACTGTGGATTCTTTTTTATAGTATTTTATGATGTACAACAAAGACCTGAAAATGTCTGTGTGTTCTTCGCTGGTTTCTGACATCAGAAATTCAAGTCCTGTCTAGTCTGAAAGGCAGTGATGGGAAAGGTGGAAAAGCTTGGAAAGTTGAAGGGGATTCTTACTTGGATTATTTTAAATGTTTTTATGGATAGTTTAAATGACTAGGTTAATCTCTTGAATCAAGGCAGTCTTAATGACTTTGCACCTTCACCGTTTCATGTAAGACTTTGAGAACTTGCAATAAATATTCCTCACACTTACAGTCCAATATGTAGATAAATTCCCTATATTTCTAAAATCAAAAAATATTTCTACAGTAACTTCAGCCCTTCTACAGAGAACAACAGGGCAATTCCAATCCCATAATCCCAAGTATTTGTAAGTGTATTTTAGACAAAGAATGACTTTCAACATCATAAATGAAACAAATGTTCAGTGTTCCAGTCTCTGGAAGTAAAGGAAACCTCAGTAATTTTGCAAACCAGCAAGAATTAAACTTGTCAATATAAATATTAATGTAGAAAGTGCATGCAAAACTTGATACTGCCTCTGACCTTAAGCATTAATATTGATAATATTGGGGATCTCACAAATGTTGTGTGTTTCAGAACCACTGTATTTCTCTTCAGTGTGTGCTTCATCTTCATTACCGACAGCTACTGCAAAGAGCCAATCTATGCCATAACCAAGGCATGGAGATACAAACTTCCCACAGCATCATAAATACGTGGACATGTGTGTGTGTTGTGTTAGGATGAGTAACCACTCCAGCTACAAACTCCTCCAGACCTTGTGTGTGTATTTTCAGAGCAGCCTGTGGGATGGGTTTGGGAGGGCAGCAGCCTGTGTGGATGCTACCTGCCAGCAATCCCATCCCACATGGCTTTGGGTCTGGCTTTGGGGGATCGTCATGAAGTCAAGCCTCACTGGTTTATCTATGAAAAGTTCCTTGCCAGACTGGGAGCTGTAAAAACACGGATGGTGTGGGTCACTGACCCAGAGTGTGTCTGCACTGGAGCCTCAGGCAGGACTGTGACAGACTGTTTGTCATGGTGATACCGTGCCGCCACAGCAGACTTGTTTCCGCTCCACACCGTGGCCTGATTCATCCTGCCATAATCTCAGCTGGCTAAAAATTACCATCCTGGGTCTCCTGTGTATGTCAGAGGAGGGACAGGAGAGGAGATGCCTCTGTAAGATTGTATGATGGCATCAGCTGCCCCACCACTGATGAACAGCTGGAATTAGGCGGGATGAATCCATGGGTTTATGATCGGCTTACATACCTCTGCACAAAAGTGTATTTATTTGAGCTTGGTAAGGGCAAGAATAATGCAGGTCCTTTGAACCCAAATCCAAGTGGCTTACAGATGAGTTTCTGAATTCGATCTCAAACATTAGATTTCTGCCCCATAGTTGCTCTTTTATTTTTACTTCAGTTTTTATGAACCAGTGTAACGTCAGCTAACTCGTTGGAACATTTCCTCACCTTTACTTGTTAAGTGGGCTCCCTCGTTGCCTGCACCAATTCATTTATTGTAAGCAACACATGAAGAAACCTTTGCATAGATCAGTCAACACCACCAATAGCATTTGCAGATTTTAAATTCAGCTGTGAGCTCGGAACTAAGGTATTAATGTTCATGCTTCCCAGGTGTGGCTAAAGATTCCTTTCCTGAGAGCTTTAAGGAATAAATCTAGGAGCTCCTGATTGAAGATTGAGAGAATACATGTAGCAATGGCAGTTTATGTTAGTTTGTTTTCTTTCTGTAAACGTGTGATAAATGCATTGCGATTTCATGTGCTGGTTTGGAGACGAGGGAATATCCCGTGCCAGACAGAGCAGATCTCTGCAGGCAGCATTACGGTGGGTTGGCAAAGCCTGTTTACAGCAGGTTCCACCTCAGGCCTGCACCACACTTCATTCTAGTTCACTTTGATACCTTTCTTCACTCTCTGCCGGTACGAAATCCTGACAGCAGTTGTACAAGTTCATATTGAGAGCTGAGGAACAGCTGAAGTTTAAAAACAAAAATGTTGTAGCTTGCACTCTTCTCCTTCTTGGAGTGTCCATGTTCTCACAGCTGGGCTGGGACAGCAGCCACCTCCACAGTTGCCATGCAGCTCCATCCCACAAAATTGGGTCTCATTTTTTATGAGTTTAACAGGAGCAGTATTGATCCATTCACGTTATTTCCTAAGTTGTGAGTCACTCGGTGCTGGAAATGATATGCATCTTGTGTAACTATGAACAGAAAAACTGAGAGTTGTGTTTAGGATGTGCTGGTACAATCCCTGCTCTGCTGTTCAGTGTTTTGAGTGCTGAAGTTTACCAAAATGTTACCTTTGTGGATTATCTCAGCTGTGCGTGAAAATGGGTATGAATTTCCTATTGCTGTTCCTGGTTTCTCAGTGATTTCTGAGCCAAAGGTAAAACAGTGGGAAAGATGGTTGTGGCAGCTACTCATTGACAGCTTTTCAGACACATAAGGCCATTCTGTCTGTCATCCGACACTGTTCCAGTTTTTTCACTGGATCACTGTGCTGCTGTATATCTCGATGGGTGTTGTCAACCAGTGGAGGGAAGATGAACAAGCTCAACCACCCAAGAAGGGTAGAAATGTAGCAAGTAACAAACTGTCTTCTCCAGCAGTCATTTATTTGTAGTGCTTCATTTTCAATTAACATTTGTACCTTCAATTATTACTGTACCGTTCAGTATCTTGAGGTGGTATGAGCAGAAATATATGAGTATATATAATTTACAAGACATATAGGCTTGTATTGTGCCTTTGTAATTCTCTTCAGCTTCAATATCTAAACGCTACAAGCAGACAAACTTCCCTCTTTTGGGGTGTTCTTTACTACAACAGTAGCTGATGGCTTCATTAATACTGACTATTTTAGTCTTCTGGGGCTAACATTTATGTTTTTCTGGGTGAAAATGCCATAGTGCCCTCAGCAGACATAAGCACAACAACATAACACTGCAGTGCATGCTGTCTCTTAGCTTCTCTCTACATGTGCTTGCATGTTGGAAATTCAGAAGTGCTGCTGTATAAAATTGCTACATTATTTACCCAGTACAGGTGTTCTTCTGAATCCCTTTTTTGCTTAAAACTCCCGTTGTCTTGGAAGTGAGTGATGGTTCAAAAGGGGGTTTTGGCTGCACAAAGGATGCAGGGAGCAACTCCTAACTAGTTTACAGGATGCTGTAAATGTCTTTTCTGCAAAGAAATGTAGCATTATAGCTGTAATTTCCTAGTGAAAACACTGAGCGTGCTTATCACTTAATATTTTAAGGGAAAAAAAAAGGGGTCAGACTGTGTAATTGTATCTCATCTAACTTTGACACTTAACCAGTTTTACCTGCGTGTTCATGCTACACCAACCAACACAAAGCTGAATGGTGACAGCCTTGTTTTACTACTGCAGCTACACAAGAAGTCACAGTTTTCCAGAGGTTCCGTTTGGATTTTTTGTTCCCTTAACACATTTTCACTGCAGGCTTATTTTTCTGTAGTGACGTGAGGCTTGCTTTCACCAACGCAAGAGTCTGTAGCCCTCTGTACTGTGAAAGGCAAGGCCATGTGGGGACACTCGGGCTTCGTGCTTGCCCAGCAAATCAGCAGAAATTTCACCCAAGCCATAAAAGCCTCTTATGTTAATCTCTAGTTATATAATTAAAGCAATTAGGGGTAGGAGCTTCAGGCATAATGAGGTCTCTCTATCATTCATTTACTCTCTCTCTGTACTTCATAGGGATTTAAGGGTTCTTTTTCCAAGGCTCACCTGTGTCTCTTAACAAACCAGTGCAGTCCAAGCATCGTGTGAGGTGCAGTTTATGGAGATAGCATTGGAGTGTGAAAGATTTACTTTTGGTAGCAAGGAATAACCTGTGTCCCTGTGGACAACATGGACACTTGCAAACGAGTCTGATACCGAGAATTAAAAAAAAAAAAAAAAAAAAAAATTCAAGATGGTACCAGTACATCAGACGCTGTTCTACAGTGGGGTTTTTAGCTTTTGTCATTTGTATTTTATTTTGTGAAAAAAGGAGTTGGGGGGATCTCAGATCACATGGGGAATATTAGAAGTATATCACTCAACAATCATTTTATAAAGTCTAACTTCAAAATGCACTATGATTTATTACAAAAGTATATTTTCTTCTGTTTGCCGACATGGTGGTTCCATTTTGTGATAAGTTAAACTCAGCAGTTAATTTGTTGCACTGCCTGGCTGCATGACTTCATCCAGTGTACATATGTACCTGTGCAGCATTACTTTTTGGGGTTTGTATTTGAATTTGCAGTATTGATTATTATTTTTGTATTTTACTTTGCCTCTGTTATTGGGATTGTAGTAAACATAATTTATACATATGATTTTACAACTGTTTTGCAACTGAAAAGTCTCCTTTAAATTGTAAAGTTTTATTGATGGATACTCATTAAAATGGTATAAGAATTATATTAACAATTGTTTTGTGTTTTGATGCTCTCTGTACATAAATATATGTCTATTTATCTGTTTAATGGTGCTTGTGTCTTGCAATTTTGGATACATTTTAGAATAAAGTTTCATTTTACAAGAAGTAGTTGTATTTTCACAAGCTGTGTCAAAAAAACCCCCCTCACCTTTTTTCTCTTACTAACTAGGGTTATGAAAGACGCATACATAAAATATTCGTAACGTCAGGCAGTTATATATTTATGTCAAGAATATAGAAGTATGCAGTCGATAGAGATGCACAGCTGTATGTTGCAGTTGATTGCAGTTACTGACATCTGTATTTAAAATGTTAACAAAAGGATGCATTTTGGAGCACTTCATACTAGCTCTCATGGCTTTGCAGAAGATTTATTCCTGTCTAATACTGAGCTCATCTTGTATTAACAGGAAAAGGAGCACAAAGATGCTTCGCAGAGGCTGCCTTAGGTCCAGCTACCTTGACCTTTTGGTATTGCCACAGGTGCTGGTGTAACTGTGCCACAAAAGGTACTTTTTCGACTGGGAAACCATTGAAAAGCACAAATCCGCTCTGTGAACTGGTGCCAGTAACTTAATTTCTGTTAATTTTTCAGCTGTGAAAGGAGAACAGTATTGACTTTGCCGGTTATCTTCTGAGCACAACTGCACCAAAGGTTGTAAAATACTCCATTACTGTAGTGGAGACTGTGTAAAAAGCTTCAGTGGTTCCTTTGCAGTCCATTGCACTCCTTTACCTTCTTGCTCCTTGAGCTGGAGCACAGGAGAAATGCAGCTTAGGAAGGAGAGACTCATTTGGGAAAGTTTTTCAAATATCAGCTTTCCCTTGCTCCTAACAGAAATGAGAGAAGTTACCTTTCCTGTTTCTCTAAAACTCCTCAACCCCAGCATCTGCTCCTTCACACACTCTACATAAAGTTATGAATTTGGATTTATAGAGGAAATTTAAAGAGCAAATTTAGATTTTACTTTACTTATCTGTGATTCTAGAGGCTGTGTAGCTCCTCATCTCACAGCAGAGAACAGATCTATACTGGGCCAAACACCTGATCCCTGGGACAGTGTGAAATGGAGGTGAAAGCCACCTGTGGAAGAACAAAAAATGAGCATTATCTTAGAGAACACCTGAGTGTGACAAGGTAAACCTGAAAACAAATTTTAAAATTACTGGTCCAGACAGGCGAAACACAAGTTAATGGGTTTTTTAAATAGGAAAAGGTTTATTTCTGTTTACAGATTCTTCCATCTGGCATCCAGGATCCGTGGTGTGAAAAGCTGCTAACTTGAGATTTTGTCATCTGGACTGAGCAGATGAGGAAGGAGAAAACACTGGCTGCACACCTTTCATAAACCCTGTTCAGGTAGTGACACTGAGGTGTGCCACTGCTACTGTCAACAAGGTCTGTTTCTTCCCTTCACAGAAGCCAAAGGAAAGATACCCGTACAAACTTTTCTTTTTCTGAAGCAACAGAATGAAAATAAAGGTAGAGAATAGCACATCATGCTAATTTTCACAGTCAGGATCCTCTGGAATGCAACTAGTGTGATGGTACAGCCATCTTGTTGCTTGCTAAAAGGGTATGTGACAGAGAAACAGAGCTTGCAATAGCTGTGCAGTGATAGTAACAAGACTGTGTGGGAAGAAAATCCCTACTGCACTGAGAAACTCTCTCTTGATTGGTTAAAACTCACATTTTCCTGTCTGTTAAGGTTAAAGCTTGACATTGTTAAAGCTGGATCTTTAACATTGTTTAAATGAACAAGTGTTCACAATATAAACTCATGTATGTTTTTAAGAAACATGGGAAGCGTGTCATTGGAATAATAACTACCAAGAGGAAAGGCTGTAAGGAAGGGCTACAGAAAGCAAAGCCTTGCTGCTGTATTAAAACCGTGCAGGAGCAGAGAGTCATATAAGCCCTGCAGTCTTTCCTGAAAACCATTTACAGTTAACACCCTCTCCTATGTTGCAGTAACACATCAGCCCCATGGACAACCGGTGACAAGCCCAGGGCATCCCCAAAGTGGTTGAGTCCTCAGTAGCAATAGAACTGTATCCATGCCAGTGGTAAAACGTTGACCCTCCTGACTGGTCTAAAAGCAGTGGCTCTGCTCTTCCTCAGGTGGTATTTTCACGGTGTGCAGCAATATCTATACAAGCCGTGTATAGAGAGGGAGGTAAGAGAAGGATCTCTCTGTGAACTCTCCACTATTACTCCTGCAGGAATAGGTGACTGGGGCCATGGTTACTGAGGTGGGCATTAAAACTTCTGTACCAGCACTGCCAGTGGCTCACCTGCATGTGGAGAGGGGAACGTGTCTTCCCTGTACACAATGTGCTGGCTATCAAGTTGGTGACAGTGTGAGAGAGTAAGACTTCAAAAAGAGGAAATAAAAATGAAAACACGAAGCTGATTATTACAGAGATTTTGGTGGCAGTGCACACACCAAATGCACTGCGGGCTGGTGCCAGGCCATGGGTGATCCCAGGGATCCTGGAGCAGGAGTGGTCCATGGTGCCCCGAAAATATCCAGCACCCCTTCACTGGACTTGTTCAGCTTGCAGAGCCAAAGGCTGCAGGGAGACCTTAGACCACCTTCCAATGCCTCAAGGGTCTACAAGAAAGCTGGAGAGGAACTTTATACCAGGGCATGCAGTGATAGGATGGGAGGGAATGGCTTCAAACTGAGAGTACATTTAGATTAGATAGATATCAGGAAGAATTTCCTCCCTGTGAGGGTGGTGAGGCCCTTGGCACAGGTTGCTCAGAGAAGCTGTGGCTGCCCCATCCCTGGAGCTTGGAGCAACCTGGGATAGTGGAAGGTGCTATTCATGCTCATCCATGGCAAGGGATGAGCTTTGACGTCTCCCAATCCAAACCACTCCACGATTCCCCTCAGCCCCACCACGTCATCCCCTCAGCCCCAACACCCCCTCTTCCCTCATCTTGGGCATCCCTTTTCCCTCAGCCCCATCCTCCCATTCCCTCCCCCCCGGGAAGCCCTGTCCCCTCATCTCCGGGCACCCTTTCTCCCTCATCCTCATCACGCCGTTCTTCTAATCCCAGGGGCCTCCTTCGCTCATCCCCGGGCAACTCTTTTTCCTCATCCACAGGCACTCCCTGCCCTCACCCCCGCCCTCCCTTTCCCCTCACCCCGGCCTCCCTTTCCCTTCACCCCGTCCCCCGTCTGCCCTCACCCCTCTCCTCTCAGCCCTGGCCCCCTTCCCTCACTTCCTCACCCCTGCCCCCAGCCCAGCATTGCCCTCCCGCAGCCAGAAAAGGCGATCCCGGCCGATCCCGCGGAGTCGGGGCGGGCCCGTCCCGCCCACCGCGGCGGGCGGCGGTGATCCCGCAGCTTGGAGGCTGCTGGTGCCGGGAGAGTCGCATTCCCCCATGGCTGTGTGCATGTGCCAGGGGGTCCTGCCGGCCCACGCCGACCCCCGCGGGGAGCTGAGCGCCGGGCAGCTGCTCCGCTGGATGGACGCCGCTGCATGCCTCGCAGGTACCGGGAACCTCGTCCCGCTGTTCGCCCAGGAGGCGGCGAGATCACTTCCCGCCTTGGGGGCCGGGGAGGCTTGAGGGAAGGTTTCAGACGGTGGGAGGAAAGAGTGTTCGAGATTTCCCAGTCACGGGGGGTGAGGAAGGGACCGCACAGGCTCACGTGGCCCTGCCTCGGTGTCGTCCCCGAGCACATGGCACAGCGCTGTGTCCGGGCACGGCGCTGTGGACGGGCGCTTCTGGGATGTCTTCACAGCTTCTCTGGACAGCCTGTTACGGTACTCACGGTGAAGTTCTTCCTCATGGAATTATATAATCTCATGAGCTGGAAGCGACCCACAGGGATCATCCAGTCTTACTCCTGGCCCTGCCCAGGACACTCCAACAATCCCTCCCTGTCCCTGAGAGTGTTGTCCAAACGCTCTTTGAGCTCTGGCAGCCTTGGGACCGTGACTACTTCCCTGGGGAGCCTGTTCAATGCCGACCACCCTCTGGGGGAAGAACCTTTTCCTGAGATACAGCCTGAACCTTCCCTGACACAGCTTCCCATTCAGGTGGAACATCCTGAGCATCAGTTTCTGCCCCTTGCGTCATGTCCTATTGCTGGGCACTTCTGAGCAGAGCCTGGGCCATCCTCTTGGCACCCACCCTTTAGGTATTCCTATACATTCATGAGGTCCCCTCTCAGCCATCTCTTCACAAGGCTGAACAGCCCTAACTCCTCCCTCAGCTTCTCGTAAGAGATGTGCTCCAGTCCCTTCATCATCCTTGTCACTCTCCACTGGACCCACTCCAGGAGCTCCCTACCTCTCTTGAGGACTCCACTAGGTTTGGGGATCCAGTTAGGAACAGGAACAATGAGAGTGAGGGAGCTGGTGGGGTTGGGGAGGAACACCAGATCTCAGGGGAGAGCAAAAAAGATAATGAGGATGTGAGGGTGAGGACAATTAAAAAAGAGAGCAGCAGAAGTGGGGGAAAGGGATGGGAAAAGAGAACTAAGAGGAGAAAGAAAAGTACTAATTTAAGAATATTAGCGCATGGATCAAAAAAAAAAAAAGGAGTGACCCTGCCTTGGCAGGGTGTTGGACTAGATGATCTCCAGAGGTCCCTTCCAACCCTTCACAATTCTGAGATGCTGTGGTTCTGTGAAACGACCACAAATCCAGCCAGCAGAGCATTCTATGATCTAACTCAGCTTTGAAAACCTCTAAAATCTCCTATCTAACTTCTGGAACTGACTTATGGAAGCACAAGCCGCCTGGGAAGCACAAAGAGAACCCCGGGCTGTGCCATCGCTGCTGCCAGTGATCTCCATTTCCAGTGCATACGTTAGCAGCCCATAATGAACCATGTGGGTATTTCTGGGGAGCTCATGTCTGGGTGCAGCTTCATGCCATCCACTCTTTCTGTGTGGAAAAACTTGGGATTCTGGAGAACTTGTCCCACACAATAATCACTTAGCGTGTGGCAACTTCCCAATATGATCACACTTCTTTTTTTTTTTTTTTTTTTTAAGATCTATGGAGGGGAGATTTGATTTCAGCCCATCAGTGATTTACTCCTAAACAGTCCTTTTTGGGTAGGGACTGTGGTTTCCCCTGATATTTTCAAAGGGAACTCCTCAGATACTGATATAAATCCTCTAATTCCTTTTCTTTTGTCATGCTTACTAAAAATATAGGGCTGCTTAAGAATGAGAAGTCCTGCCTGTTGTACAGTGCTATTCTCCAGGTTTCCCGCTGCTCTTCTCCTTTGCCTCTGTCACTCAGGAAACTTTGTGGAGCACAGGTTCCCTACCTTCATGCAGCTCCCAGTTCAGTGGAGATTTAGCTTCTGACTGGAAGCTCTAGGTGCTATGGTCAAATAAATAACATATCACAATAACTTGCTATAAGAGCTATCAGGCTATTAACAGTAAAGAAAATGTTTACCTATTCCAGATTGATTTTCATAATTAATACAAAAAGATTGCATTCTTTTCCACAACCAAATGCATCCCAGGGAGATGAAGAACACAGTTTTGGTAAAAATATTTTACAGTACGTAAGTAAGTACTGGTTTTGATTTTTTAAAATCTCGTTTGCGTTTGTTTTTATTTAATCCATGAAGTTTTGGTACAGGAGTGAGGACATGTACTTACCTGCTTTCCACTGCTGTGACCATGCTAATAAGGCAGCGGATTTTTCTCCCGTATCTGAAAATCCTCAACTGTCATAAAACTTACATGCTGTTTAATCCCAGCTGATATTAATGACACACTGTTTTGAGGGAGAATGCTGAGATTTCTGTAAGCTGTTTAACACTTTTTGACTCTTTAACAAGCTTGTTAATGCTTTCTTGGAGGATGTTTGTTCATTGTTAGAGAAGGACATTTAAATATCAAACTGAGTAGCATCATTGTCATAATGTAGTTTCATTTCCCAATGTTACCCTTAAATATGAATACCCTTTACCATGAAATCGTAGTAAATACTAATCTTATTTAGCTTCTGTTTTTTTCTAAGGGGCCCACTGCAGACTTGCATTTTGGTGTTCACACGAAGAGCTGGGATCTGCTATTTGTGATCTCTCTGTCTGAAGTCTACAGGTGAATAGCTCACTGCACATGCCCTGTGGTAACTGTGTGCCCCTGTGTCTCTTTTGAAGCTGAGAAACATGCTGGTGTGTCCTGCGTGACAGCGTCCATGGATGACATACAGTTTGAGGAGGCTGCCAGGTACAGAACCAGCTGACAACAGTCAGGTGTTTTCATTCCAGAGATCCTTGCCTGGCAGAGATAAAATTACAAAATCAGAGATAGCAGGCTGATGAACTCACCTGAGTTACAGGGCTAAGTCCTAAAATTGCTCCTTTCTACCTGTGATAGTCTGCCCCACCTAGAAAACAGATTGATTTCATAGGTCAAAAATAAACTGTTGTTTGACTTGGTAGCAGAGATGAGAAACCTATGGCATGGTGTCTTTGGCTCTAGTGAAAGTGAATGATGCAGGGCACTACATATCTCTGTTAAATGAGGAATGCATACCTATAAAAGTTACTGTATTAATGTTTGTATTGCTGCAAGTGCTCTTTTGGTTTATTTCTTACTATCTCTTTCTTTCAGTTCTTGTAGAAAAGGCAGAAATGTTTTGCATTCCTTAATCATTGAATTGTCTGACTCTTACAAGATAACACAGGACTTAACTTGTTTTAAACATTTTTCATGATTTTCAGAGGGATAAAAGACACTCTAAGAAGAAATAGCACCTTTATTCCTAAATCGTGTCTTTACATTAACTTAAAGCTGTTATTTTGTATTTTTTGTATGTGTTTGACACGTTGTAGTCTGGGAATTAAGGAGAGCTTAGATGGGATAGACCTGATTGCACAGACCAATGCCCATGTCTTGGCTGTGAACAAAAGCAGCACTGGCTGTCAGAGGTACAGCTGGTGTCAATTTAAAACTGTTTGCTGTACAAGTGTAAAATCAGCATCCACTCACACTTACGATTTTTACAACAGTGGCCATTAGGATGAGAACTAGAATCAGTGACAAAGAAGAGAACAGAATCATATCAGATCTAGAACCCAGAAGAGCATTTCTTGGTCTGTTTTGCAGTAATGAAGTGTTTGTCCTACCTGTTATTGCTCTATGTTTTTAATTTTGCCCTTAGGAAAAAAATCCTGTTGTGAAAACTAATCAAAATTTCTCTTTTAGGCATAATACTTCAGACTTCGTAGCTTCATAGCAATTTCCTGTCTTTCTTCTGAGAGCAGAACAGAGCTTCTGAAATAAAATGAAAATACTTTTCCTTCCAAATTTGTTTCCAGTTGCATGTCTAGTTCTTCTTCCACCTGTGACATCAATATTTCATTCTTACAAGAATTTAGAGCACAAGTCTAGTAACTGTGGAGTAGTTAAAGAAATTATTTTTCAGTGTCAGGTCATCCTTAACATCCTGCAGTTTCCTAAATTGTGCCTGATCCAGTTGCTTATACAAACATCTTACATAAGTAACAGAGCTGTTGCTGCTCTCTCTAGTAAATTAATATGATGTTTTGTAAGTAAGTGACTTACTGTAAGGTTTCATTTACCTAACTCCAGTGACTAAATGTTCTGTAAGAATTAAGTCTTCTGTGCTTCTTTCTTTCCAGTTGACATGGAAACAGAAATTTCCACAACACTCTGTAGTTCAAAACTCAGTTTGTGCCATGATATCAAGTAAACCCCTCTTCCTTGTCTTTTAATATGCAGCAGTTCAATGGTACTGATTTTCAATTACATCTAATTTTAAATTACATTAATTTCAATTTCATTAGTGTTCCATGTGTAAATCATAATCAGTTCATTCTGTTAAGTTTCTGGCAGTTTTAGGTGTAAGTGTGGTGTTCTGTGACTTCTGCCCCTGTGTACCTATTGTTACTGTTCTGAACATTCCCCTTTCTGAAAATGAGCTATGCAGCTGAGAACTGTTACCTTAGTGATTGTGCTTTTTCTTTGCAGTGAATAATGGAAAAACTGTTTCTGAATACCTTTTTCAAAAGCTAATAAGGGCTGTGTACCTGCAGATGGTCTTGATTTTTCCCACTGACCATTTTTCCCCTTTGTCTACTCAAAAACTTCCACTTGTGCTCTTAAATGTGAACAAGAAAGTTGCTATGTAGTTTGTTGCTTCCTTTAGAGGAAGAGGTTTCCTATTTCCCATTCTAGCGTTTGTCAACAAAATTTTTGTAGTTCTGGCATTGAAAAAAAAAAACAAATGACCAAACCCTATTTATTAAATTAGGAAGAATTTTTTTTTTTTTGGTATGAACCAGAGTCAAAACTGTGCAAAATACCTGTTTCACAGGTACTCAAGTGCTCTGAGCTATATTTTACATCAGTCTTGGATGTAGTTAGCAGCACTTTGCCTGCCCCAGGGCGGACCTTTAGCAGTTGTAAGTCAGTTTAAATTTCCTGGAGGCAGTGGCCTGATGCCCAGCTATTTTGGCTATGGCTCTGACTTACCATACACAATGTGTCCTTTCACTACTCTGCTCAGTGGGAGAACTGAGGCGAAACTGCCTTCCTTCCACCTTCCCAGCACTGTCTTATGGTAGGATTTTAGGGGTTTGGAAACAAGATTTATTCCTGGTATCAACACGTAACAGGTACTTTAGAAATCCCAGAAGGAAAACAGATATTTCTTCATTAAATTTGATTTGATGATATAAGAAGAAGAAAAAAATAGAATAAATAATAAAATAAGTAATACAATAAAACATTAATAAATAATGTAATAAAATAACAAATATAAAAGAGAAATATGCAGTTCTGTTTAGGTATTTTATGCAGGTAGATGGGGAAGACTGGTTTTTAGAGTTATACTGCTAGGACAGAGGGGACATGCTGCAGTCCTATTCTTGTCCAAGACTTGGAATATGAATTCTTTCTCCATCCTTTAAAGATGTCAAAGAGCACTTTTTGACCTGGGATTATTTCCTCATATACATCTATCTGGATGCCAGAGGTGCTTGTGGAGTGTATCTGTGTGCTTTGCGGCCAGATGTAATCAGTGATTTGATGTAACTCACAGTAGGATTTTGAGCAAAAGCAAAATCTAAGCCAAAATTTCTTAGTGTATCTGGGGCTTGGAGCATACCTGGGTCATACAGACATCAGCAAGGAGAAGGAATGTTAGCATAAAGGCTATGCAGTTCTCTGAGTAACTATAATTTTATTGAGCGTGAACAAAGTCTGACTGGTGAATAACAGTGCTAACCTGAAAACGTGAAAAATTAACTTTTTCAGTGAATTTTCAGGGCAGCATGGAAGACACCAGGTGATTAATGAGATTTTCTTCACTTTCAGGAATACCCAGAGAGGCACATTCAAGCCCTTACAAAGCTGCATGTTTGCATTCTCTAAGGTGTTATTCTTCTTAACAGGGTGGGACAAATTATTACCATCAAAGCAAAGGTGAACAGAGCATTCAGAACCAGCATGGAGGTAAGAGATCACCACTCTTATTTCCAATGATATCGAACGAATAGAACAGAGGTGGGAGCAGACATGGGTGCACATTTGTTTGTTCCATATACCTGTGCAGGTATCTAAACGATAACACTGTCTAATGAAACTCTGGTTTTGAAGTATTGTAGTTACATTTCCTGGAGAATAATCAATGTCAAAGTAGAAACTGGACCCTGAAGAATTAAAGTCTTTGGGTAGGGTTGGTGGTGTTGGTCCAGTCCAAAGCTGTTGACTTCCAAGCAGCCTTTAGGTGAGATGCACTGAATAGGTGGAGTTCTAAGTATTTTTGAAACTTCTGGTACAAAAATAGTTAAATCAGGTGTAAATATGTTCTTACGCTTCATATTGTAACAAGTATGCAGTGCATTGTCAAGTGACTTGAAATCAGAATTGAAAATCAGAAAATTGGAAATAAGAATTGAAAATCAGAATTGAAATCAGAACATTAGGGATACTTTTTCTGCACTGTGCCCGAGTCCAATTCCATTAACAGGAATGATGCATCTCACAGAGAATGTGTTCAAAAAGGCTCTAAAAATTAGGAAAAAACCCAGAAGCTTTGGTGCATGTCAGGTCTATCCATGGGAACAAATACAGTGTTTCATCTTCAAGTGTTTCATTGTGTTTTGTACATTTAGACAGACGTCTTAGCCCATACAGACCTTAGAAAGATTCAAATGGGGATTCCAAATGGCACACAAGTAAATGGAAAGAAGTATCTATAAAACTACATCTAAGTGTCTTTCCTGAGTGATGCTAAACAGTGATTGTACTAAAAAAACCTTCAGAGCTCAGCAGTGTGATGTTCTCTAGTGTTCAGAAGTGTATCAGTGATAGCAAAGCAGTTTTTTACCTTTTCTAAGTGGAGAGACTGAACGTGATTAATTTAATAAAAACTGCACCATTTTGTCTCAACTGACAATGATGTAGATACCTTTTTTTCTCCTTCCTTTTAGGTTGGCATCAAGGTTACAGTACAGGATGTTTTTACTAAGGTTGAAAAAACTGTCAGTGTGGCATACGCAACATATGTAGCCAAACCAGTTGGTTCTGGAAAGGTATTCTTTCAGTTTCCTTCTAAGCTTGAAGTGACTGAGTTTCTGTGAAATAACCCAACTTTCTTGCTTGTGAAACCCAGTGAAAACATTCATACCTTTTTATTTTGGTCAGTAATAGGAAAAGAGCGTGAAGTCCAGACTTTATACAGATGAAGTTGTTTTGTTTTGTTTTGAATTCTCTGCTCTGAAATTGTTAGGGTATTACTTTTATTATTATTACTACTACTATTATTATTTTTGCACTTTCTTTTGCACATTTATTTTTCATAGAACTGTACTAAGGGGTGCAGTATTGACAGAGGCAAGCACTGGAAGAGATTCCACAGTCTCCTTTTCAGAGGCTGATCTAAATAAACCCTGAAACTGCAAGGGGGTGGGGGTGGGGTTTCTTTATCCTTTGCTTCCCCTTCTGAGGAGGTTGTTCAGACATCATTGTTCAGATAGAAGGCGTTATTTTTAAGCTAGCTTCCAATCCAAATTAATTCTTTGCCACTTATGTTAATTAGTTTTCATGCCAATGTTGTTTCTTCTCCCCAGTGTTTGGCTCCCTGGAGGTATTTAGAAATCAGTTACGGTACTTTCGGCCTTCACATCACTGTACCGTGACAGGCACAGTCCCTTTAAAGTTTTCTTATGAGAAAGGCCAAATATTCTCCAGATTCTCTTAATAAAATCCCTCTGTACATAGAATTCTACTTTCTTGAATGTGGCCAGAATCATATATCTGACTTTCTGGTCTTATTGAACATGTTATGACAGTGCATTTGCCTTTTTAACATCCACTGGAGGCTGGCAGAGTCATCCCATGAGCCACTAATATATCCAATCATTTCTACTTTCTCTTCTGTGATGGTATATTACCATTTGCAGAAGAAACAGACTGGAACAGTTTTACCAGAACTAAAGCCCAACTTGTCTCTGAAAGGCTAATGGTCAAATTGCTTCCCTGAAAGCACTGAAATACTGTAAAGTAAGAATTGTTTATTACTGGTTTGATATCATACCCATGGCATCAACGTGTTTACCTTTTGCCCAAATTTCCAGGCAGATTAATTAATGATTAAATTGGTGGTGATTAACTAAGATTAGGCTTAAGGCAGGAATGTCCCAGAGGGAGTTTGAGAGCTCAGTTCAAATTCCACCACAAAGTCTTGGAGAAATTAAAGAACTTTTTTTTTTTTTTTCCAAATCCACTTTTCTGAACAACTGTTTCTAAAATTGTGGAGAGAGAACCACTATGCACCCACCACCTTAATCTGTTAGCTGGGCCATCTGAAAGAAGATGGGAAGTTCTTGAGGAGAAGCAGAAAGAAAGCAAGGAAATGGCAAGAGGGTTTGAGGGAAGAGTCAAAGGCTGAGAAACATTAGCAGCAAGGCAAGACACAAAATGTTGAATTTCTGTGTGTATTGCAGTGCTTTGTGCATTATTTCTGAGGCTAGATCTTGTAGAAAAATTACACAAGTGACTGTTCAGTGACACCTCTGCTGTACTTAACCAAATGTAATAATTTTCTTAAGCCAGCACATATTTGTTATCAGCTTGTCATTGAACTGACGAACATGGGAATTTGCACTTACACCACTGATCAATGCAACTGGATTAATTTTATAATTCAAAAATTCAATACTCAAACCTTCATATTAAGTTTGTCTTTTTTTTTTTTTAATTAAATGAGAACTGTTTTAAACTCTCACAGATGTTTGCATTTAAAAGCTAAAAGCACTTTGAAATTGAGTTTTAATGAATGATTCTGAAAGGATAATGCAGAATCTCTCGAACCTTAAATTCTGTACTTGTTTGTATTAATAAGCTTGTCATCTTGGACAGCTGATAGCAAAAGGTTGTAGAAAATTCTGATGCCATTCTAAGTTCTAAGTTGACTTTGTTATGATTGTGAAATTAAGAACTGTTGGGTTTTTTTCTTTTTCATCTGCATAGGTTGAGTTAGAACCTGTAAAGCTTCTGTCTGCAGAAGACTGCCTGGAGCACAGCCTGGCTATTGAGAGGAGAAGAATCAGGCTGGGCTATTTCCAGGCTTTTCAGAACCTAATGAAGAGGAGTAATAAGGAAGGTGATTGCCTGAAAGATGGAACAAAAGACTTGTGGGCAGCTGGTAGGGAGTAAAAAAAAGCAGACAAAACATGTAGATCTCCTTGAGGTTGTGTTGTCAAGTAGAAAAGCATGTGCTAGATTTGTGAAGGTAAGACAGTTACCCTAATAGAGTGGCATTTCTTTGTCTTTCAGAAGTTCCAGATTTAAAATTGCAGGATTGAAGGCCATGCATGCACTAAATAGATGTGAAATACAGATCTTCACCTAGGTTCCATGTGCAAGGTTTAACCATTCACACAGAAATTTACAATGAAGTAATAAAGTCCTGTGACACTCATTGTAGTGTAGATGGAGGGATAAAATTTGCTCGGGTTTATGACCATGTATTTGAGGAAAGCACTAAGAACTGTGTTTATGTCCTGAGATCATTCCCAACAAGCAGGAGAAATTTCATAACATGGGTATCAAAACAGGTAAATAAAATTTTTTTTAAACACCTAATGATCAAATTAGAAAAGCTGAGCTAAGAAATAGGTTCATCTTTTATTCTGACGGTAATTTCTGTTCTTCAAGAGACTTGTGCTCAAAAGTTGCTGTCTTCCCCTGCAAAAGAAATTATTCCCAAATACACTGGTATTTTGAAAATGTACTCCATGTATAAATAACAGGCATTATGTGGTTTTACTGAGGAGAGATTAAACCTGTTGTAAACATAGATTCTAGTCTTAACTTTTTAAAACTGAAGAGTCTTATTTGCTACAAGCAAAGAAGCTTAATGGTAATTGTTTCACAGGGTACAGTCAGATACCCTGACAGACAAATCAGAGGTTGATGGGTTTTATCTCCACTGCATTTCCTGGAAACTTCCTTCAAGAGTATTTGTTGTAGCACTAATTCACCTTCTTACAAGCGAAATAGGGGAAAGAGAGGAGAAAACATTTCATGGAAAGGCTGCTAGGTAGCAAAATAGGTACAAATCATACCCAGGAAATGATGCTTATCTGCTGAGTGGATCTTGGGCAACAACTTAAGTAGGTCCAAAGTACAAGTTAGTCATGCATTTCCACACATTTATGTAATCACAAAGATAGTTAATTATGCTGAAAGTCAGAAGTACCATTCAGGTCAAGCAGCCCTAGCACAGATACGCACTTGTAAAATAACTGATGTAATGTCGTGCCTAAGTGTTCCTACAAAACACTACTGAGAAGAACAAAGATCAGAGTGAGGATGTAGGGCTAATCATTTGAAAGTGATACTGGGTATGCTCAGATAATGGAGGGTGATCTCTGATCCAGATCCTTTTTCTCTCTTTTGTCTGTTTTGTGTTGTCTCAGATAATCACAAGATTTGTAACAAGTTACGACATAATCATGTCATACTCTAACCTTAATTAGACACATTTGCACATGTGCCAGTCATACACAGTGGCAAAGTCTTTGAAAGACATTTGAATAACTGATGAAGAGGGCTCTTCTTTTTCTCTGTCTTTCTGGTTTTTTTTTTCTTGCCTGAAGGAAATGCACACTTCAGTAATAGGGTGCATTTTCTTCTGAAAAAATTCATTGATACATCGCTGCCATATTTCAGATACTTTTGAAGAGGAAGATGCAGTTTCAACTGAACTTACTCATGTACAGAGTATTGAGCTTGTCCTGCCTCCTCATGCAAACCATCATGGAAACACTTTTGGTGGCCAGATCATGGCTTGGATGGAGACAGTGGCGGGTATTTCAGCAAGGTACTTCCTACACCACAATCTTTGCATATGATTCTAAATAGATGTGCTTTGGATATTAAGGGTTTCTCAGGGATTTATTTAATGAAGAATACAGATCCAGACCTTTGTGACTTTTCTTCCTCCTCACGTTGCAGGAGACCCTTGAACTATTTATATGATACAAATCCCACAGCCACTGTCAGAGTCAAATATTACACATACAGACCCTAAGGCCAAAGAGACTGTGTTATCCTTTGAATCTCTGCAGAAAGTCAGCACTGGACACAGGAACCAAAACTTGCCCTACTTGTGGTTGGTACAGGGTTTAAAAGCAAAGTTAGTTGTTAAATCAGGATAAAACCCAGTACAAAGTATTTTTTGTGACACTGCTAGTCAGTGTGGCCTCATAATAAAATCATTTAATTCCTCCTCTCCTGGAGTCAAAACAGTTGTTTTTCTTCCTTCCTGTTCTTGGACACTGCACAAAGCTTCTTTGTGAGCACCGCTCAAGTTTCAGTTTGAATTCTCCTTGCACAGCAAGTGACCTAATTCACTGCAGGGATATTAGATATGTCTTTGCTTTTTAACTTAAATAATTAAATGGCTTCGCCATTCATTATTCATGTGGTTTTGATTTGTAGTCAGTAGTTGTACTGATAACAACAGATTTTCTGTAGTGGTTGGGTAAACAGCTTGTTTTAGTAACAACAGTGCACTGGCCTTACCCCAGTGTGCAGCTCCATTAGTGTGAAGGGATTGTTGCAGGTTTTTGCCATAATATGACCCCAAATATTTACCTGTTTTCATCTGATAAGTTTTACCTATTGAGAGTCACATTTAGATTTAAAAAGGGAAGGAAAATATCAGCAAATGGAGTATTGAACAGATTTGCTTTGAGCTAATGATTGTCAAACATGATTTGGCATACTGAAAAATTCAGGAATAATAGCTACTGTCAGAGGCTGGTTGAAAACAAAAATTTTGTATTTTTTTGCTTGAAAGATAACTAGTCTCACTATGAATCTTTTGTGGGGCCACTCAGTGCAAGACCTGACCTTTGAAGGTGCGAGGCAAGAGTTGCCATGGCTGCAAACTCTGATGGAGGAATGGAAAAGGATGGATAACCCTTGACAAATTAATTTCTAAGGACATTTTAAAGTTTAGTCATCTTCCTTCTGTCCTCTCCCATCCCCACCACTTTTGTTTTTACTGACAATACATGAAAATCTTGGAGATAGAAATAAAACCAGTTGAATGTTAGTAGTATTAGTTGGAACTTGATACGTATTTTCTTATTTTTACACTTGCAGTAAAAGCATTCAAAGCAAACTTTACCATGAAAAATTGAATATTTAGACCAGATTTCTATTTTGTTCTTCTCTTGTTTTCAATAATATTATGTTTGCATCCTTAACATTGTAAATAAAATCAGTGTTTAACATTTTAAATCAGAAGAGCAAGTTATTTTTAGTTTCATAACAAAGTCATTTGAGTGTATTAGGCTGTTACATAGATGTACTAGTCAATTAATTAGCTACAGATAATTGTGTGCATTTAACAATACTGGTACATTAGTTTTCAAAGTGCAGTTGAGTTAAAGGTTAGGAGTGCTGCAAAACTGTGTTTTCAAATTTAAAAGGTGCACAATGAAAAGTCTATTTTCAGATGTGCACATGGGCTTCTCACTGAGAACAGCGTGTTTTTTCAGAGTCTAAAAATAAATGGCATTATTGTATATTGTTCCCAATTTGTGTAATGCACAGAGATCCCAGTAGAAAGAAAGGGCTTTGACTGCATTTAGAACTGATGAAGAAACCTAATTTTTGCCCACTCCAGAGAGCTTACAGACTAGATCCCATTTACACAAACTGCATTTGGCAACAACATGAGTAGTTTTTTATTCTTATTTATTATCACACCAGCAGAAAGTGTCTAGCAAACAAGCAAAAAAAAATACAAATATTAAAAAGAATACACAGACTTACATTGGTTTGCTTGAACACTGTTTCTGGTACTCAGCTTTTCTGCTCAGGTTTCTTTTAATTGTTCAACGGCTTTATGATCTGGCATTTTTATGTACTTCTTATGCATACAGAAATTAATGAAACAGTGAAATAAGTGGTTACTCTCTAGGTAAGAGATTCATGGTCTGGCTCTGAAAGAGGGTAGTATCAAGCAGTGAGAATTAATTGGTGTTTGTAAAATGTGTTGAAAAGCAAACAGCTTGACATAAGTGGCATTATTATGTTTGAAGCTCAAATTATGTGCTCTTGGAGCTGAACATGGTCAGTGTATTCGAGTGGGTTATGGAGTAAATTAGTGTAATGTAGTGACCTTCTGGGTTGTGCAAACCTTGTTGCTCTAATCCCTTCCCACCCCAGACCTAACAAAGGAGGTTCTTCAGTGTGGCTGTGTGTTTTGCTCTTTCTCTCTCGCTTTCTTTCCCAGTCGCCTTTGTCATTCATACCCTGTCCTGAAATCAGTGAACATGTTTAAGTTCTGGGGACCCTCCTTTGTGGGCGACCGCCTCGTCTTCAATGCTATTGTGAACAACACCTTCCAGAACAGGTGAATCTCCTTATCTGTTTGTCTTCCTTGACTTCTCTAGCACCGGCCTAAATTGTGTTTCAGGTTTCAGCCTGAAATCCAGGAAGACTGTGTTCCTAAATGAATTATTTTTTCAGCTGGAACTTTGAAGAATGTATCTGTGTCTAAAACTGTCTGTATATATGTGGGATTTTTTTTGCTTTTCTTACTGGAAGTTTTAAAAAATTTATTCCCTGACTTTCATTTTAAAGATCATTTGTAACCAAATCCCACTCTTGTAAATGCAGTCACTAAATATTCCTCTAAAATTCATGGATTTCCAAAGGTTCAGTTGGTCCCAGAGCTCTCATTCTTCAGAATATTCCAGCTTGCCCATCGTGACATCTGTTGACAGATCTGGGCTCTATTTTATTGCTTATTTTTGTTAATGCTACTTAGCTGCTACCATTTTTTATTTTATTTCTGAAATATGTCTGTCCAGATTGAGTAATTTATTTGGTTTGTTACACAAGATATTTCAGTCAGGCACACCTAGGTGCACAGCAGCCCTTTTTAGCATGTCTCAGGGCTTCTTCTGCACCACTTGAAGTAGTTCAATAATTAATATAATCTTTTCTTTCAGTGTGGAGGTTGGTGTCCGTGTTGAGGCTTATGACTGTGAGGAGTGGATCAAGGACCAGCCACGGCACATTAACAGTGCATTCCTTATCTTTAGTGCTGTGAATGACAAAGGAGAGCTGCTTCCCTTCCCCAGAGTCAAACCCAGGACAGAGGTGAGGTCACATCCTCAGGGGCAGCAAGGATGCATATTTGAGGTGCTGTGGTCCAGCCCAGCACACTCTGTGTGCCACAGACTATCACTACAACCAGGACAGGGAAGAAAAATCTGCTTTTTGGAGATTTTTCCACTTGTCTATATGTTTTATGCCATTTTCACTGACTGTAGATGAAACTCTATAGTGTCAATAGTTATTTTTAGAAATCCTTCACAAAGGTGAGAAATAGAGTTAATAAAGAAGGGTGGAGGAATCAAACAAATCCCATGATGTGGGTGGGCTTTCAAGTCCCTTGGACATGGAGGTCTCAGCATGTGTTTCCCTGAAAGCAGTTGATGAAGCAATTGAAGCAGTTTGAATACTTTGTTAAATTATTTGCTGTGATGTCACCTGTCACTAACCTTCCTGCTCCAATTAGAAGAATTTTAGAGAGCCAGTATGAGCAGAAATGAAGGAATTGTTTAACATCAGGGATCTTATCTTTTATAGGATGGCAACTAGACAAATAAATCAAGGTGTCCCAAGTACTAACTGAGGCAGTAAAGTTCACTGCACACTTTACAGGCTGTTCCAAGAGGAAAAACTGACTTTAAAAAAATAAAATAAAATTTTTCCATGCTTCCGTTGTACTTCAGACACCAGATGATGATGAACTGGGTTGATAGTTTATTTGGTGGGTGGCACATTTAGAAAATGTAAAATGTTTGGTTCACTGCCCAGCTGCCACTAGTTTAGGACCACAAAGCACTAAGAGCAAGCAACTGTGATACAACTCTTTTATCTCATTGTTTTCTGAAATTTAAGGGAATATTTCTAAGCCAGAAGTAAACCACTGACTTGGGTTAATCTGGGGAAAGGTGAGGTACAGAGTACAGTTTTTTACTTGCCTGTATTACTTCTCTGGCATTTGTTCATCTGTAAAAAAATAATTTTCAGTGGTCTTTTTTTAGACTTTATTCTAAAATAATCATATGTGTTACTGTCTGGTTTACTTTTGATGAAGGATGATATGAGAAGATACCATGGAGCTATAGCCCGAAGGAGAATTCGTCTAACCAGGTATAGCTGGGTTACAAGGAGGACTTGGTTTTGAAAACTTAATTTTATAATGCATCCTTTAAAAAATCTGACCATTTGTTAAGTAACCAACTCTCCTTAATATATATATGATGTTATAGTATTAAATTTCCAAATAATTTTGCTTCAGATGCACTGAAATTATTAGAGGCTACTTGTTTCAAAATTACTTTGCTCTACAGGTTATTTTGTCTCTCCATCTTCCTTGAGAAGAAAAAGGGTGTTATTGCATGTCTGTATTGCATCCAAAAATTGATATAATACCTGTATTTAGAAGACACTTAAGCCTACAGAAAACAATTGCTTTTAGCATACGTAGAAGTAAGTGTAAAGAACCAATTCATGCTATTATTGCTCTTTTTAATTGTGTTTTAGAAAATGCATGCTGTCTGCTAAAGGAGGCAAACCTTCTGAACTGTGGGAGAGAAGCAACCAGGTAATCTGTAGGTGCATAAAAAGGTGGGTTTTTTAGACTTTTGGGTGTGTAAGACTATGCCTGTGTCATGCAGTGAATAGTGATGAACTTGAATTTAGGTGGACTTACAGTCAACTTTTCAGTGCCCAGTTTTTGTAGCTAAATTTTAATTGCATTTAAGATCTCAGTGGCTCACAGAAATTTTCATTCATCTACTCCCATTAAATGAAAAAATAAGTAGTTGAGAATTATAATGCAGGAAGGGAAATGATGTTTGAAGCAGCATGTTTATTTTTCTGAAAAACAGTGATTGTAAACATGCACACACTGATAAAAATGGCTTATCTAAGATTTATTTACTATGAAATTAAAACCTGTTGTGAAAGACTCAAGGCTGTATTCTCTTTATATAGTGGTTAAATGAGAACTCCATCCACTGTAGCCAAGCATAAATAATGGATATATTTGCACTTTCTCTACTCTGAGCCTGCTGTGTAAAGCAATTGCCAAGATGGACCACAGCTTGATAGCAAAGAAGAGGTTAATTTTCTAGTAGATTCTAATTACTTAGGAAGAAGATGGACAAAACCATTAATTTAGTGGTCTGAGAGGTTGCTTGTGTTATCTCCCTGGTGGTCACAGTTTTTCTGCACTGCTTTATAACTGCAGAAGCTGAAAGTAGTATTTTGCTGTTCTTTAATTAAGGTTGCTTTGCCAACAGCCATGTGAGCACATAATCTAGCCATTGGAAGTGTTTAATTCAGAAACTACTGGGCTGTGTTTTCACTTATAAGGAAAATAAACATTTGTTTGCAGTTGAGAGGTAACGATAGGAAAAAAGAGCATCTCCTTTCTACAATGTTTAGTGAAATGTGCTTTTACCCCTTCATTTTCAGACCTGTGTCTTACGTTTCAGGCATATTTGAGTTATAGCAATGTAGCAGCACTGACACATCTGGCAGCAAAACCAGGATGGGAAATAACCAGGACACTGGATGATGTAAGTGCATCATTGTGGAGTCACTGCACAGCCACTTGAGCTGTGCTCCACCACAAGAGCTGGGCAAGGAAAAGCAGTGTTTCACTTTATGTATATCTGTAATACACTGCCTTCACCAGCTCTGCAGAGGTTTCTAAGCAGCAGGGCACTATCTTATGATAGTTCCAAGTGGACACTGTCAGTCAGACAGCAATTTATATACCATACTTTTCATATATACCATATTATCTGTCTTCTCAAAAGACCACTTGAGGCTGTTCCTATTCATGATTTTCCTCTCAGATATTCTTCTTCTGACCTTTTTTCTATTAAAAGATTACAGAAGTCTGAAAGCAAAGCATCTCTCTGTTCACCTACTATTGTTATAAACTTAAAATCAGCAAGAAAACTTCTATAAGCCACTTCTAATAGAGGAATATCCTGCTAAGAAAACCAGCAGCAAGGCAGCTGAGCTGGGAGAACTTGGTGTTAACGCAGTTGCAGTGTGTATTTCCCAAACCACTGAGAGGCATCACATATATGTTAAGGTTGGATTTCTGAAATAAGGTTAGTGACTGGCAGATCACTTTAAAATCATGTAAATCCAGAGATGTTTAGGGGCAAGAAAAGGTAGTTGCAGTATTTTAGTCTGACTTCCTGCACATCGCAGGCTATGAAACTTCACTGAGACGTGCTTGCATCTGGTCAATGAGCTGCTTGAGTAAGAGCAGACACAAATAATAAGGAATTCTAGTGCTCTGGGAATAAAACCTACTAACTCTAAGTACTCTCTTTTACCCGTCTTGTTCCATTTTACAGGGTTTATGGAATGTGCCCAACCCTTCATTGTTAGGTACAACTTGTTCCTTTTGAATTCTCAACGTTAGGGTTTAGGCCTATGACTGGAAATAGACCCAAAATAATCAAGACGAGATACTACAAGTGTGGGACAAGAGAGGCAAACCCATGTGCTGAAATAGTTTTTCAGTATGTCATTGACTCTGGGTGCTCTGCTTCACAGAAAAGAGAAAAGTAGGGTATTTTGGAAAGAGAAATGCTGAGTCACTTTTGTGGAAGGGGGCATAGGCCAAGGTGTGTCTGATTTGCGTGGACAAAGGCATCTGGGATTTGGTGTACATTGGGTACTCTTGAGAAAATCCGCTGAAGTTCAAATCTGTAACATTTATAAATCTTAAAATATTCATGCAATCATTCTTTGGTTTCAGTACGTGCTCATTTTTTCTTTCAGATAAAAATATGGACTCATGAGGAGGGTGATGCGTTGTCTTTCAAGGTTGAAATGCAGGTGAAGATCCCATCCCATGTGGCTTTTTCCCTTCTGTCTGACTTCACGTTGCGCCAGCAATGGGACAAACATTTCCTGTAAGAATCTGCCTTTCTTCAGGGCCTTGAATCCACTAACAACTAACCCTTTCTAACACAAATATTTCCTGAGATGGTGGCGCTTTTCTACCTAGTTAAGAAGAAACTGTTTTAAGAAGCTGACATCAAAGATTCTTTAGTTAAAAGTGTGGATTTTGTTTTTTACATTAAAATTTGGTTTACACTCAATCTGATTCCAAATTATAGGTGCCCTGGACTGTCAAAAGAGAGGGATGGGACAGAGGTGACCCCTTTCTAAAATGAACACAATTGTATGCTTAGAGATGTGTGTTAAAAGTGACAAAAAACAAAACAAAAGTGAAAAAAAAAAGTTGCTAGTAAAAACTTCAAGTTGCATACAACTGTAGATGGATATATTGTGCATGCTGTCTGTGAAAATTAAGGAAAACTCTGGATTTCCTCAGGTTTGTGCTCTTAAGGACACAGATGCTCAGATTCAATGTACAGTCAAAGTGAAAAATCAAGAAATGGTGTTCTTCAAAAATGTGTATTTTCAGAAAAAAACCCATCTTTTAAAGTGTATCTGAAAAGGATAAGATTTTGGAATTGCTGTAAAAGGTGTTTGGGGGTTTTTATTTACCTTATATGGTGTAAAATAATTATTAGAGACAGTTGAATTAATATGATATTAATTGGTTTTGGTGGATACTTTCTTAAAGGAGAAGCACTTTCAGCTAATTATTTCATCCTGAAAGGTTTTTATGAGGTAGAAGCGGGAGTTTAGGGATATTTGAAAAAGTAACAGTCTCTACTGAATTGATGGCTTGTAACAAGTGAAATCTAAAGAAATACCGTGTTGATGAGATGTTGCAGAAAACCTAGATTTTTTGGTCTGTGTTCCTCTCTCTCCCTTGCCGCCTGACTGTGAAAATCAAAAGTTTAATGTTAGGATGAAACACATTTGCCCTGTGGTTTTTCAAAAGGGATGCTGTTGCACACATCAGGGCCTGCATGTGTGTGCTAAATGTATTTGCAGGACTTGTGAGGTCCTGCAGGCTGTGAGTGAAGAGGAGAAAATATATTATGTGACGTCACCTTCCACAAGGGGCCACGAATCCAGAGACTTTGTGATTCTCGTGTCTCAAAGGCAACCCTGCAAGCCATGGTGAGTAGGGCTTTTGCATTTCACTGTGAGCACTTTAGGGCTACAGTTTTGGGTTCTGTTGACCTTCTCCTGTCATTGGGGGACGAAGATTTCATTTTTTAAGAAGGTTGATTAGTATGTTGACGCCTTCATTTGTACAACCAGATTTTTTTGGCAACATGAACGTGCAGTGAAATAAATCCAGATTATCGCAAATTTGCAGCATAGTCCAGTATTGCTTCTCTGATGTTGACTCTTTGGGAGTAGTCTTATCTACAGGGAAAATAGGCCAGAGTTCCAAATGGGCAAATTAGGAAAAAATACCATGTCCCAGAAGGCCTGTCAGTGCGCTGAGGCACCGAACTGGGATTTTGTCTTGTTATTTAACTGACTTTGTAGTCCCATTCAATGTGTTTCTGGAGATCTTATTCAAGGAAGTGCTTGAAACCTCACACAATTATTTTATCTGTAAATTTTGCCAAGTCCCTTGATCAGTTTAACATACACTGCTTTTTATTTCGTTTTTTATTGGATTTCCTTTTGGTCTTGCGTAATGAAACATAGGACCATTTGGTGTAACTTATCCTTGTTTAGTCTCAATTTCTTTTCTTATATTCATTTATTCTTCAAGGTAACAGTAAAAGGCAGTGTTCTGCACTGTGCTTGCTTTCTACGCTCACATCAGGGAATTTAATGAATTTGAATACCTTTGTTGGGGCTGCTTCTTAGTAAGAGCTGTTCTGTAAACATGGGTTGTGGAGAGCAGGATAAATTAAAAAAAGGACATTCTGTATGTGGGTGCTTGTTCTTTGGCTTTCCACAGAGGTCTGATAAAGCCTCAGTGAGATCCAGGAGAGCCCAGCCCTTTGACAAGTACAGTTGAACACACAGGAGCTTGTTTACCTTCATATGAAAGGGACACAGCTGTGTATGTTGTAGTCGCTTCCAAGAAGAAGTGTTTGATGGTTGCCCTTGCCCACAGTGAACCCTACACCGTGGCTGTGAGGTCGGTGACCCTCAGCGCAGTGCCCCCATCCCCAAAGTTCTCCAGGAGTGAAGTCCTTTGTGCCGGGTTCCAGATACACAGCAGCACCAGCAGCTCCTGTACTGTGAGTAGCTCTGAGGCCTCAGCTCTGCGTCCCTTCCTGGGGCATCACCTGTGCATGTCACTGACAATCAGTGAAGGCAATAGCAAAATACAAACCAAAAAATGGGTCTGTTCCCCTAGTCCGGTTGTGTGGAACCTGCCCTGCCCAACTTTGGCCAATCTGACTGTCAGGAATGAGATCTAAACTAGGCACTGGAGGTTACTGTGCACCTCCAGAGTAATTCATTCACTTCTAAAACACATTTCTAGAAGGTGTGCATTAAACTGGTCTCTGGGGGTGTCCATCTCTTTTCACTGACTAAAGAGGAAGTCTATGGAAAACAGTTCAGACTAAATTCCTAATTTTAACTGTCATATGCCAGAAATCACACAATCTGAATCCCATCTCTGGACGAGTGACAATGTTCTTTTCTTATTCTTTTCCATGGGAAGGCCAAAACTTTTCCATTTAAGAAAACTGAAAATATTCAGTAGCATTCAGTGGCTGTGATTGCTTTTTTCAGGCAACAGCTTTGTTCACAAAGCACATATATTTAACAGGGTATGCCTAATGTTTCTTGCTGCACTGCTCTGTACATCTACCTGCAGATGCTTGGGATCTGAGAGCAGCGAGGATACTGAGATCACTGAAGTGCTGTGAAAAAGACACCCTTTTTACAAATTATTGCCTTCAGTTTCAGAAGCACTATGTGTTTCTATTCACATCCATAAAAACTTTGATGCTCATCTAGGCTCTGCAAAAAAAAGGCTAACTCCTGCAATCCATAGGCTTTTTTTGTTCAAACAGGTGTGTTACTTCAATCAAGTGACATCAGGAGTGATGCCTTACTTAGCTGCAAATCTCGCAGGCTCATCAAAATCCATTGAAGACACTGCTTTGGAATGTATAAAGTTCTTGGAGATGAAAGGCTCCAAGTGCTGAAGTTAAAAACAGATTTCTGAAGGGACATCTGAAGATTATCCAGCAGTTCTTGTTTAAATTCCTGCGTGTTGATAATTTTTCTACAGGTTACTTACCTTAGATCGTGTAGCCAATATTGGGCTTGAACCTGAGAATACCTAGTACAAGCATCTGCTATCAAATTGAGCTTAGGCCTTAGGCTCCAAATTCAGTTTTTAATTTAAAAAAGATTAAGGGACAGATTCTGATTTTGATTGCATTAATTTTGTATAAATGGAGGCAGAACGTGGCTCAGTGGAGCTGTAGCTCATGAGACTATTTCCCCATTTTAATGTTATACTGCATGAAAAGGCATCCAGGCAGTTTTAAATCTTGTAACCTGCAGAAACCAGTGTTGCCAAGTAGCTTTGCCTGTGCTCTGACCTGGCTGTCCAGGTCTTTGCACCCCCATTATTTATGACCTGATTACAGCCCATGTAAATTAGAGTTTGCTGCTTTTAATACTTGTCTGTTTATGTGTGACTTCCAATAAATTATTGTTTCTGAGGTTAAAAATTCATCACAAATTTTATTACAGGATCTCTGGGCTGCGGAAAGGCTGCTTTGTAGTGGTGATGGGGACTGCTGGCAACCTCAGTGCCTAGCTGTGGAGTAGAACAGTAACTCTTGGATCCACTCCCTCGCAGATGAAAAGGGGGGATGGTTTCAGAGGTTTGATTGTGGTGTGTGTGCTTTGTTTTCTGCTCTTATTTTTGCTTAAAAAAGCCTTGTTGAGAAAAATGAGTGTGCTCATCAGCAGTTAGATCCTGGCATGGACAGGGGTGTGAGGGGGATCAAAGCATGAGCTGCAGCAGGGTCACTTGATCTCTCTGCAGAATCACAACTGGTACAGGGAGAGCTCTCAGGGTCTGGCACAGTTCCCACTTTAACACATCCTCAGTTCAGCCTACAGCTAAACCAGAGCTCTGTTCAGGGATTCACAGGATGCAGCACATTTTGCATATGGGAAGTACAGCAGGAGAGACACCAAGGGAAGCCCTGGAAGCCCTCAGGGTGCCACAACACCTGAGTCACCTGGGCTCTCCACAGCTCTGGCTTAGCTTGGGTACAAAGTCTTTGTGGAACCAGCTCTGTCTGCAGGGGCTGGCTACTCTGAGCCCCACACAGCTGTTCCTTCCACCTGGAAGAGGGGCAAGGCAGGTCCTGGCCTCTGGCTCTGGAGGAGCAACCATAGACCCAGATCCTGATTTTGAATCAGCATTGTCATCACGAGGGTGAAGTGCAGCCTCTGATTCTGGGGAGCAGGGACAGCTCCCCCCAGGACATGGGAGCCACTGAGGCCCTGCTTGTCACCTCCTGGCTCAGCTGGCCCTGGGAAGGTCCAGATCCCTTCTGGACCAAGAGCTTAGCTCCCCAAGTCCTGCTGGGTGCTGATGAGGGCAGACAGGCACTGGACTAGGCAGAGAAGCCTCCAAGATCCCAATCTCTGGTGAAGAGAGACATCTAATGTTCGCTCTGAACATGGGCAGTGGGGACAGAGCCTGCCTGGATGGTGCCTGCACCAAGCACTGTACATTTATTTACACCTTTACATGCAGCACCTTTTACAGCTGCTTTTCAAACACCTTTCTTCATCTACACCTGCCTCTGTGAAATCATCAGTGGGTGCATTTAAGGTGTAGTTTTGTCCAACAATTACTGAGGATGGCTCTGAGTGAGCTGACAATTGACCCACAGCTCACCTCCAACTGCCTACACCAGCCCTCACAGGGATGTATTGGTAACACCAGGACAGTCAAAGTCTGTGGCTCCAGGTTCCTATGCATAAAAGAACATGTTACAAAGCCAAAGACTTGAGAAATTACTTTAAAAGATCCTTTTTGGACAATGTATTTAATTCATAGAATAGAAAGGGAAAACACTGGGATGCCTGTTGCAAAATGTCCACATAAAAGTGACACTGCTTTGAGTTTTAATCCAATAGTTAATTAAAACTCCATAATTAATCCTTGATTTCATTCACATCCACTCTCCTTCCCCATTTAAATGCGTGCTCCGATGAATACAAACTGAATATACAGCCCCCCAGCTCAGTCAGCTTAGTGTGCCTTTGTCTCCACAGCAGAACTAGGAAACCTGAAATAAGAGCTCTAACCACTGTATTCTTTAGCAGCATTTTTATTAAAAATAATTAACTTGTACAAATATAAAATATATCCACACAAATTAACTCCCCGTATTTGTTTTTTTGCTTCAAGAAAAGCTTGTGAGAGAAGCTCAGGGTGCTCTTCTCTGGTAGCACAAGATGCTGCAGGAACTCTCTTTTTAGTCAGTTTCCTAGATTTTTTTTTTTAATATGCCTCAGTTTTTTTAAGGCTGTAGTCTCCATTTAAAAACAGTAGATCTCCCAGGTAGTAGGAGGTGTACACATTCCCAACTTGCCGAGGGATAGAAAGAATGAAGATTTTTGAGCATTTTCCTTGGAAAAAAGTAAAGAAACTAAGCAAACTTCTCACTTGTTCTCCAACTCTTCTATGGTGTTTTTCACCACAGCTATCAAAGGCAGGGCATGATTCTGTTACTTTTCGTGAACAAATAAACAATCCAACGTGCACAGTCAAGTTAATGATTGTTAATTACAACCACGAGTAGCAGGAATTGCACCCCCAAGCTCAACAGGCTGTAGAGTTTACCTGTAATTTCACCACAAGAAGTTACATATGTGCCAAGCTGGCACATATGGAGGAATAAATCGATTATTCCTAAAAGGAGAAGGCAAAACCATGCCAGAACCCAACAAGAACCTTTAAAAAATATGCAGAATCCCTTTAGTAAAATACCCACTTGCTGTATTTGTGTTGTTCCTAGCTTTTCAGGGAGCTAGGGGAATCTGGGAGGCAAACTGGAAAAATGAAGGGACACAAAAAAAAATAAAACAATTCAGCAGCAGTCTGCTTGATTTTCTGGAACAGCTCTCTGTAGTCACTCTTCTGCAGCAAAGCAGCAGTGAAGAGCCAAGAGACCTTCAAAAAGTCACAACTTTGGGTACTTTGGCTTTTGGCTTCTGCAGATTTGGTGCTTCAGTGACTTCCTCATGGTCTGCGCTCATTCCAGCGACCCATCGCCCAACTGTGACCTGGTCTGCAGGGGGACACACAGGGTGGGGAAAGGCTCAGCACTGCCAGAATCAAACCTTCACACCTGGGCAAGGCTGGGCCCACAAGGGCAACAAATCATACGAAGAGTATCGCACAGATAAATCCAAGTTTATATTAAAGCAGGCCCAATAAATCCACATGAAAAAATTAGACGCTGCAGTCCCTGAAGCTCTTTGCCAGCTGTAATTCTTCCTGTAGTCTAAAAGTACTCTGCATGGTACAAACTGATTTCACAGAATATCACAGTTCTTACCAACGGTGTCACAGTTCCAATTAATTCAACTGTTTTTAACGAGCAGTACCAGTTTTGAAATACCACTGTAGGGACAAAGATGTCCCTTGAGAAATTGAACAGCACTAGTCAGTCTTATTGTGGATGTAAAACTTAACCAGAAAAAGGCAGAAAGGAATTGGTTACAGGCTTTCAGTGCAGCAGTCACCGGAGTGGGCACTGCCCAACTACCTGCTGATGAGTTTGGGGAGATTTCAAGTATTTTTGTGTCAGAATCTTCTCTTCAGACTCAATCCCACCCACTCTAGGCCGGCTAAGCAGCAGGTACCTAGAATGTTACATTTGGTGTAACAGATCTAACAATATTATATAAGTAAGATTAGAGACAGAAATTGCCTCTACTGCCTCCATAAATATTTCTTACATAAATTTCACCAAAGTGGCTTATTATTAACCCAGAAATTCTATGCACCGTAAAAAATAAGTAGAAAAAAATCACACATGTTGTCACCACTTCAGGTGGTAACAGAGTCATTCTTCAACCTTTTGATGCTTTTGCCTTCCACCCACACTGGAAAACTGAAGGACATGTAACAAAGCAGCTCATTAGCTGTGGATCCAACTGGACACACATCCTGTCTCCTCTTTCTCCACCATCCCTGACACACCTGCCTGCACACACCACCACCTTGCACCTGACATTGTGTTCACTTCCACCACCTCACACTGGAACTATCAAAAATCAGCAGCCAGTTTGGTTGCACAGCTGCCAAGGTATGAAGAGCAGCACAAACACTGGCCAAAAAAATACAGATTATCTCATATCACCTTCAGCAATACACAAGATAACTTTCTGTTAAGCAAGATCTTAGTTTTGTACTGCAGTTTACTGCCTTCCTCCACACTCCCCTGAATATCAGCACTCGCTGCCAAAGAAAGGTCACCTTTGCTGTTCCAAGTTCTCCTCCCAAACCCCTTTTCCTGACCTAGGTCAGGCAAAGCAGTAAATGGACACTGCTGGCCTCAAACTTCACCGCACAGTTCCCTGCAGCTCACCTGTGTTCTGTTTCTCTGGACAGTCCTTTTTGAAGTGCTCCACAGACCCACAAAGTTTGCAGCCTCCACCTGTTCACAGAGAAAGTTGTTCTTCATGAGGAAAACAAAAACCAAACCAACCAAAAAAATGTCTTCCTCCATGTCTCTGAAGGATGGAGCTGCTTGTGATCTACTTGTGTACTGCTCTGTACAGCATCACATACCATTTCTGATTTGTTGGAAGCTCTCTTTTTAAGAAACCAGCTGCATTCTGCCAAAATTCATACTCAAAGGAACTTTTGAAGTTGACAGGAGCTCCTGAGAGGCAGATAATCCAACTGCAGGAACTGAGATATGAAATTTAAATTCTCTACTCCTAATCCAAACATTTCAAAGTGAAGTGATTCTTTTCCCCCTTTCACCGTGCTGCGAGATCACCATTTGGAATTTGCCAGACCCCACATTTGTACTGGGGAAACAGGTTGCTGGTTGTTGGTGCCAATGGGGAAGTCAGGAAGAGCAGAATCTGAGCAAAACCTTCAAACTTAGATCCCATTTCTCATTAAAGTCACTCAAACTGAAGATATCCTTCTTCTAGTGAGAGCCTGTGATTTGCCACCTCCCAAAATCTTAATAGGGTGACAGTACGTTTTTACCACCTAATTTGGTGCATGTACATGTAAATAAACACTGACTACAACATGATTTTGTTTCTTTGTGTATCTCTTGATATTGAAGCACAAGCAAACTCTCACGCTTTGCACCTCATCTTGTTGTTTAATGCCAACCTTACCTTTAAAACAGAAATCCCCAGGTAATTAATTGACAATGAATTCCCTAGAATTCCCTGCTTTCACCAAAAAAGACACAGAAATTCCTTTTAGCCAAGTCTTCATTCACTTGCAATGTTACTTTGCTCTGTATCAGGTAAGAACGACACAGAAATTAGATTTTACTTAATTTAGTAAATCAGCACACTCACCTTCAGCATACAATCCTTTTGGATTATCCGGACACGACCTTGACAGGTGCCCCATCTCACCACAGATGAAACATTTTGCATATGGAAATGGCCCTGCAAAATCCCACGGGGTTTATGATGCACATCAAAACCTTTGTGAAGCCGCAGACTGAACACAGTGTAATGACAGTATCTTACTTTATGTACAAAACACATGTCAGGTTTCTCATTATCATAGTGCAAGAGTTAAATTACTAACACAAAAAGCTGATGTTTCAGTAGTCAGACAACTCAGACCAAAGCTCCTCAAAACACCACAAATTTCTGAGACCCACCAGTGGCTGGATCCACTTTGGCTCTGCATTTGCTGATGTCGTGTTCCGTGGATCCACACCGGTAGCAGATACCCGTCCCCATGTCTTGGCTTTCCAGGACTGCAGGACAGTCAGCCACACCATGCCCAGGTTCTCTGCAGTGGAAACACACCTTTGAAGAGAAAAATTCAGTGATTCTGTGAATGGCAACCAAAGACCTGTAAATCCCAGCATTACAAGGCCTAAAAGGCAGATGCACCAAGGGATTTTCTCCTGAGGGAAAGACAGCCAGGAAAGGAGACTCTGTGGTCTGCCACAGAAATAACTGTGAGTGCTCTGTGCCATCAAACTACATTACCATGGGCATTTTTCTCCTTTTACTAGCAACACACTGTTTGGGGCATTCACCCACTGACAACTGCACACCCTGGACCATGGAATCATGGAATGCTTTGTGTTGGAAGGGACCTTTAAAGCCCATGTCATAACACCCCCCACCATAGGCAGGGACACCTTCCACCAGACCAGGTTGTTCCAAACACCATCCAACCTGGCCTTGGACACTTCCAGGGACTTCGCTTTATTCACCTGAAGCCTCACCTGACACACTGGGTCCCCTCAGGAGATGAGGGCTGAGCTCCTCGCTAAGACCCCCTGGCAGCACCAGCACCAGGAGAAGGGTCTGCACCTCCCACACGGGGGCTTTCCTGGGGGTTTAACAATGCTGTGAAAAATGACGGGGAGTAAAAAGATAATGGTATGGAAATTATAGGGGAAAACAGGATTGCTACTCCCTGGACTGAACCTCCCACACACACAACACAATCCAAGGGGGACTAAAGGGAGGGTGGAGAACCCACGACTCCACTGGAGCCCTTGCAAAGGAGGGAATTTGATGGTTCAGCCGCACAGCAGCTGCAACGCAAGAGGGATAAAGGACCACGTCTTGCTGTTGAATTAGCAGCCCTGGTTCAATCCCTCTCCTTGGGCTGACCATGTTCCCACACCAAGGCCACTTCAGGTGAGATACCCTCCCAAGGTACGACTACCACTCACTGATTAAGATGTATGACTAACATCACTCAAGTTCCCCCTAAACATAAAGAAGTAGTGTAAAAGTAACTTAAGAACGGGGAGAAGTTTGGGAAGACTCCGGTCTAACTTTTGGGATCAGCCGATGGACCGAACCTCTCTCTGCCTCACAGGGACTCACTGGGTAAGAACCATGCTCTGTGCGTGCAGAATCATTACCTCGAGCCAGCTCTTATTAGTAACTGGAATTTGCTTTGCATTCGTATATTGTTTTGAATTAGTAAATTGCTTTGAATACATCTCTGCAGCGAGACACTGTCACCGGCACTCCCCGAAGTTGTCACAACGATATTAACAAAGGGTTTATTCTGCACAGTGTTGTTGTGAGCCCTCCGAGGGCGCTGGCAGACTGATCAAACACTTAAGAATTTGAGGGAACGTCCCTCTTCTGCGTGGCACAGGACTCACCATGGCGTTCTTCCTCCTCTCCTGCCTCCTCACCCTCCTGCTCTCCCGCCGCCGGTCCTTCCTCAGAGCCTCCTCCTCCTCCTCCTCCTGCTGCTGCTGCTGCTTCCGGTGTGCCAAGAACCCGTTCACGTCCTCGCTCACATAATCCTTCTTCTTCCTCCTCTTCCTCCTCTCCTTCTCCTCCTCCTCCTCCTTTCCTGGCCCCCTCATCTCTTCCCAGGGGGTCGCGTCCAGCGCTCTCGCCCCGGGCGGGACGTTCCGCCGCGCCCAGCGGGTCATGGATGGAGGGCAAGGAAATGGGGGTGGAAATGAAATGAGGGTCCCGCAGGGTTCCGGTGAAGGAGCGGCCTCTCAGCAAAACCCGGCGGCGCCGGGTGATGACGATGGAAGAGGGAATAGGAAGAGGAGGAGCGGAATCGAGATCAAGGCGGGGGGGAGGAGGCGGAGTCCCCGGGGTCGAGCGGAGGCGGGGAATGATGAGAGGGGAGGGGGAGGAGGAGAAGGGGGACCAGGACCAAGACCAAAGAGGAGGGGTAGCCCCCCAGGACTGAGGGAAGATGGAGGTGGAGATGAAGAAGCAGGACCCGGACACGGGGGGAGGAGGAGATGAGGATCGCGGACCGAGGGAGACGCGCCGTGTCAGGGGGATGGGGGCTGCGGGCGGCTCATCCCATCCCACTCCCTGCCATGGGCAGGGACACCTTCCACTATTCCAGGTTGTTCCAAGCCCCCTCCAACCTGGCCTTGGACACTTCCAGGGAGCCAGGGGCAGCCACAGCTTCTCTGGGGAATCCATTCCAGGCCCTCAGCACCCTCACAGGGAAGAATTTCCTCCCAATATCCCATCTAACCCTGCCCTCTGGCAGTGGGAAGCCAGTCCCTCTTGGCCTGTCCTTCCATCCCTTGTCCCAGGTCCTTCTCCAGATCTTCTGGAGCCCCATTAGGCACTAGAAGGGGCTCTAAGGTCTCCCTGGAGCCCTCTCTTCTCCAGGTGAACACCCCCAGCTCTCCCAGTGTGGCTCCAGAGCAGAAAGGCTCCAGCCCTGGGAACATCTCTGTGGCCTCCTCTGGACTCGCTCCAGCAGCTCCATGTCCCTCTGCTGTGGGACCCCAGAGCTGGACGCAGCTCTGCAGGTGGGGTCTCACCTGAGAACTGGGAGGAGTTGCAGGAGCTGCTGCCCCTGTGCAGGTGTGGCGAGCTCTGCTCGCTGGAGGCTTACAGAGCACATCTTCAGGACTGTGTTGTTGGAGGATGCTACTCAACTGTTGAAATGTTTATAAACGCAAAACTTTTTCCCCTCAAGTCAGTCTTCTTTTTCTTGTACTTTTAGCGTTGCACTAGATCTCCATGACGTATCCTGGTGGTCTTGAGTTGATCTTATAAGGATATCTATATTATATATATTATATAAAAATATTATATATTCTTCAGTAATTATCCTTAATACTTTCTCTCCCTGGGGAAATGGCCGTATTTTGCCGTTTTTCCGTGTCTTTGAGCCCACTAGAGGGAGATGTTCACAAAGTGTGTTTTAAACTGCATCGCTGCTGCTTAGAACGAGCACTGGGCAGGGACATCTTCCACTATTTCAGGTTGCTCCAAGCCCCGTCCAACCTGGCCTTGGACACTTCTAGGGATGGGGCAGCCACAGCTTCTCTGGGCAATCTGTGCTGGGGCCTGACTGCCCTCACGGGAAGACTTTCTTCCCTATTCCTTCTTTCCTTCTGTCAAACTCCCTGGAATTTCCACCAGCTCATTTCTGCAGTGAAATGCCCTCTGAAGAGCAGCCCTGCTCTCCAGCTGTACAGCTGCTCCCTTTTGTTGAGCCCCAGCAGTGAACTGACTGACTGTGAGATGCACTTCATCATCCAGGTTGTTAGTAAAGACATTACAACAGAATCATCAGCTCCAGTACCAGGCCCTCAGGAATTCTGGTAGCAAGTGGCTGCCAGTGGATGTCCTGGTGCTGCCCATCAGTAGTTTGCAAGCCAGCAGGGGAAAACCAAATAGAGGATGAAAACTGAGCACGTTTGGCTCACAGGCAGATTTTGTGTTAGGTTTAGGGTTTTGGAGAGCTAACACTGAAATCTTTCCAGGTTTACTTATTTATGTTCTGTGTAAAATCAGCAGAATTCTCTTTGCTTCTCCCAGAATTACAATTATTAATCAGCACTTGGAAAGCCAGTAGCAAAATGTAAGGAATGTTCCCAGCATAGATGAGGAAGAACCAGCACTCACATGGAAGCTCCAGTCTACTTTACACTCAACAGCTCTCACCAGGCTCCTGATTATCAAGAGCTCCTGATTCACCATCCAGCTCTCAATTAGCTCCCAATTGTGATTTTTAAAGTTTGTAACCAGTTATGGCCCAGCTATCCAGTCACTCTGCAGATATGACTCACTGAGAGACCTTCCTGTGAACTGCTGTTCTGAATGTGGTGGCTGTGAAATGCTGAGTATGTTTCAATATGCAAAAAGAAGTAATCAAAGGGACTGTCAGCATCTGCTGGTTTTCCCTTTCCACAGAGCTGCTTCACACATGAAATTGTGGTGAGCGTGGAGATGTGTTAGCAAATCCCCAGACACTTTGAGGAGTGACAGCTGAGCTAGGTCCCCGTTACCTGGAACAGGCCATGGTGGACAAGGTTATGGGGGTTGCAGGATATCAACAAACTGATTTGCCTGCTGGTTTTTGGGCTGCAGCCCAAGGTCATGGGGTGGAAATGAATAGGGTGCTTACAGGAGCTGTTGTAAATATGGCCAGAAGTGCAAGTGCAGCGTACAACTAAACTAGTACTACTGGAGTAGTACGTTTCTTATCACCAACCAAGAAAGAAAGCGAAGCAGTGCCCCAAAGAGAGCGTAGGGGAGGTGGTTGTATGGGTGCAGCCCCGTGAAGCTGCACAAAGACCGGTTTCTGCCAATACAGCAAGACATGGAGGAGGCCTCAGGTATCAGGCAGTGTTTTTATTACACAACATATTTATACAGACATATACAGAGGTGCCTTCCCATCAGAATGGCAGCCACCAGTTTACCATCAGTTGCCACCATCAGCAGCAACATCATTTCCTGACAAACTGAGGCAGAGGAGGTGGCACCCTGATGTCTTGACCTCTTTCCAGTTTCTTCTCACAGTCAACAAGGTAATTGACCCCGTCGATGACAATCTGGACCAGCTCCACCTACAAAAACAAGAAGAAAATAGTAGTAATAGAAGCTTGAGCTCATCTGTTAATAGAGGAATAGAAAGTTGGCTTGTATTGCAATGACAGCAGGTAAAGCTGTGAGGTAAAGTGACCCCTGAGGACAGTCACAGCATGGAGATCATACACCCTCTGGCACAGGGAGAATGGGTCATGCAAAGCCATAGTAATTCCCTTCTCCTGTTTGCCCCAAGTTTGGACCACCAGAAACAGAAACTTTTAATTAGGTCCCCAAAGTTATTTCCACCAAACTCTTCTCCCATTGGAACAAACCAGACAAAAGCCCTTACATAAAATGTTTAGGCATGAGCTGAGAGATCTGTGACCATGAGGGTCTTTCCCAGGTATGTGCTGGGAAGGGATGCCTGGCACAGCTTGTTCCCCACACTCCATGTAGGAGGATGAGAACATAACCATGTTGTGTGTACTCAGCATCACCAGGCAGGTCTTGCTGAAGCACTGAAGTCCCTTGCTGGGTCTCTCCAGCTCCAGGCCCCTAACACCCTGTGCTTACAGGAATATTGAGCACAGAGACATAGAAATGAATTAACATGGATGTTGGTGCAAGGAGAGGAAGGCAGAGGCTCATTACCCTGGTTCTCACTGGACCTGGGAGCTGCTGGAGGCAGAGGGTGGGTGTCCTTCATGCGGCTGGGACTGGGAGGATGTCAGCACTGCCATGGCCTTTTAGGCTGCCTGAGGAAGCTCATCAACTCAGGGACAGGTCCTTCCCCACCAGATGTCCTTCCCAATGGATGTCCTTCTTCACAGATACCCTTTCCACAAATGTCCTTCCCCTGTCCTTCCCCTAGAGATGACCCCAGCCCTGGTGGGATGAATGTCCTCCCCCTTCTGCCAGGCTCAGCACCCACATCTCTGGAGAAGAGCAGGCTGGCTCTGCATCATCCAGCACTCATTTTTAGCTCCTGATTTACACTGGCAGGGATGGGATCAGGTCCAGGCCAGGAGCAGCACCAAAATTTGTAAATCTATGTGCTGGGGGCAGAGGAGGGGTAGGGAGAGTGGTGCCTTTGTAACCTGTTCCAGAATTGCTGAAGAATACCAGGAGCCTTGTCCAGAAATTCAGAAAGTCCCCAGCAGACTTTCTGCACAGGCTGTGACATGTGAGGACCACAGGCCCTGTGGCATTGTAAGCCAGCAAGCTATAGCACTGATATGTCTTAATCTTCATGAAATGGTTCATTAGCAACCTTTAATGACTGGCTTGTTAAAACTGAGTGCAAAGACTAAATCCCATTGTCTCTTTATTATGACAGTTGCTGATTTTCAAGGGATTTGTTTTTCCTATAAAGCATTTCAGTGACTTAACACTTTATTTTATTGCCTTTTACAGACCAGCTGTTTGGGGAAATCAGAGGTCTGAATTTGCAGTCTCCAGGAGAAAACAAATTTCCTATTAAGTTTGCATTGACCGGTAACTGAAACATAGCAAAAATACAGACAATTTTATCTTGCAGCTTTGGGAACATAATCCAGTTCTGCAAAAGCATTTACCACGTAATGGAATTTATTTTATTATGTACTAAAAAAATTATATCTTATAATAAAACATTTCTATCCCTTTGAGTATGTCCTGTCTTATTTAGATTTCAGATTCTTCAAGGTAGGGATTGTATCTTATGTGTTGGCTTAATCCTTTGGATCCTTGCTGTAGAAGGCATCACTGACTAGTGGAAATCTTCATATAAGAAAGAATTTTTAGGCTTAGGCTGTCAGTCAGTAGGGCTCAATCAGGCTGTGTCATCCTTTTGTATTACTGATGTTATTTTAATATAAAGCACAAGTGATGATGTTTCAGGTATTAATAGATGTCTTTGTCACAGACTGTTTGTGCAAATAATACAGCTTAATTGTATTTCACTCTTATTTATTTCATTCACTGTCATTTGTTTTGTTCTAGATCCAAAGGAACATAGATGCCTACATCAAACTTCGAAATTTAAAATTTCCAAACCTCTCTCTATGATTGTGGAGACATTCAAGGGCACCTCTGAATAAGAAAGCACAGGGTACCTGCCTTGGCTCTGTCCCAGTCATGAGTGAGAAGGGAAACCACCTGGCTGGCTGTGGACTGAGCTGAGTTTAGTTGTGACCACGTGCTTTGTCCCTGGGTTATATTTCTGTTATGAAAACCTACCCAGAATCAGGCTGGGTTTTGGGCTGCAACAGCAAGACCAAACTGCATACTAGCTGCCGCAGCCTCTCAGGGAGGGTTTGGCTCAGAGCTGGTGGGAAGAGGCTGCAGCTCTTTGACATGACTCTTTCTGCCCCATCCTCATTAGCTTTGCTCTTGGGAGCTGTTCTGCTTTACAGAACACCTGAATATTAATCTGGAATGAGGTGTGGGACACAAGCCTCCTAGGAGGGCAGCAGCAGTACCAGGCTGCAGGGTCATTTCCATGCTCTGGTACAACAATTGCTCCTTCTGACTGAAATGGCTTCAAAGCAAATGTCTGAGACAAACCCATCTCATCACCCTGCAGCCCAGCAGGGAGGGCTCATGGTTGGTGATTAACTTTGCCTTGATTTAAACTTAGCTGTCATTTAAACCTAGCTCTCCTCTGTCCTCTGCTTGGAGCCACACAGGACATGTGAAGAAGGCACCAACTCCTCAGTAACTGTGGCGTGAAAGCCTCGTCCTGCTGTGTAACTGTGGAGGAAGTGCATGACTCAATAGTGAAAGGAACACAACACCCTAATCCAAGCCTTGCTTTAGTGCCTGATTCCCTGGATGGGTTAGGACTCCGTCCTTGCTCATTTCCAGCACCTGCATACTCACTCACGCAGAGGTCCTCAGTGCATGGTGCAAATCACATTTGTGCAACTTGAGCAGGGTTGGTTTCTTTCATTGCCATAACAGGAGTGTTTATCAAGCCCTTCATGTGCATTAATATTTTTTTCTTTCAGTAAGTATTTCCATTGGACCAGGTTCATCAGGAGTAAAAGCTGACGTGGATCCACTGAGGTCAGCAGAGCGAACTCAACCGCAGGGAAACTGACTTGTGTCAACACAGATCTGAGATAAAAGGCAAGGGGAAAAAACAAGGAAAAAACCCACAAAATGAGGGCAGGTTACCTCTGAGCGGCCAAGGCGGTCCAGGTTGGAGATGTCGTACACATCAGCCACGGCTGCCGTGTCTACTCCGCCAGTGCCACGCTTCTGCAGGCGCAAGTTCTCCAGGATTTTGGGAAACCTGGGGTCCTGTCACAAGAAACAGGTTTGAGCTTACTGCCTATCAGTGTGTGTGTCATGCTGTGTCCTTGCCATGCTGTGATCCATGGATTAACAGCATTGCCAGAGGGACAGGCAGCGGTGGAGGTGGAGAGTTTTCTTGTCCTTGGATTACCGCCAGTCCTGGCCGCTTCCTGCTAAGCACATAATTTCCATAACAAAGACAATGATTTGCAGAATTAAAGCGTGCTCAATTAGACCTGCATTACACCCATCCTGCTAACCTGCAGTTGCCTTGAGCTGTCATTTTTCATCTATTCCTTTATAAATCAGAAGAGCTGAATTATGTCACTGGCTTTTTAAAGGACTCACATACCTTGCTCAGCCTGGGCAGCTTCACATGGACTCCAGCTCTCAGACCAGTGCCCAGGTTGGAAGGACAGGTCAGGACATACCCGAGACGCTCATTCCACATAAATTCCCAGCCTCGTTCCTTAATTAATCTCTCCACCTATGGTGGCAAGACAGAAAGAAAGCAAAAAGGACAACATGCAAATATCTCATTTTAAGATGTCTGTTGGTAGCTGAGATTCTTGTTGCCATGCGTTTGTGTTGATGATCTTCACTAACACCAGTGGAGTGGCAGGAAGTCACACCTGGGTCCAGTCTGATTTAGGTGTGACACAAATGTTTGCACTCACCAGGTACCAGAAGGATTTCTCTGTCGTTTTCTCACGACCGCTACCTTGCAGACTCTTTGCCACTTCATCACAAAGCTCCCTGTCCTGGTGTTTTTGTAAAGCCTTAGCTCATGAAGCCATGTCTGAGATTGTGGCTTTTGCCATTTTTTTCTAATTTGGTAATTTTGGAGCTAGTTTGCAACACACAATCCCAAAAGACTCAAACACTATGAAGCAAACAAGGAGCTGAATCTGAGTTTTGTGTAATTTTCAAGGTGATGCCCTGACTCCTGGGGGAGGACACTTGGCCTCTAAATGACCAGTATTAACAGTCACACTTTCTTTATACGGAGACAACACAGCTTGTACATGCTTTTCATTAGTAAGTCTCTGACCAGATTAGACAGGAGAGTGAAATAATTATCTGCAGGAAAATCACAAGGGTCTATTGACCTTTGAGTAGGCTTGTACTTTGTTCACCCATCTGCTTTCCCCAGGTTTACTTGTACAATCCAAATACAATTTCAGTTCAGTTCTCTTCTCCTCCTGAGGAGAACTGGATGCATAAACCAGCTCATGCTTACAAGACTTCTGCAAATATAGTTGAATATTTCTGTTCTGCAGAAGGATACAGACTAAATGGCCTCTAAAATCATTTCTATACTGTGTGAGCACAACAGAACAGATGGTGGGAAACTAGACCTGATTTCCTGCCCCAGGCACCTGTGCTGGTGATAGTTCCCAAAGCTGCCTGAACCCCTTTGCCTGGCCAGGTCCACAGGTGCTGCTCTGCTGACATGGGCTGAGCTCAGTGACAGTCAGAGCTGGGAGCAACCTCTGCGAACTGTGTCCCCTGGGCCACCCCCTGTGCACTGCTCAGCCCCAAAGGTGTGCCCTGGGAACCAGCCAGGACTCAGTCACCTCCCTGATGGCATAGGAGCACCTGTCAGGTGACTTTGTTTTTCTGTGCCCCAAAGCCCACTCCATACTCAGACTTCCCCATGGATGCTCTGAGCTCCCTCTGCTTCCACAGCAAAGACTCTGTAGGCCCTGCAGTCCCTACTTGGCCTTGTTTTTTTTGACTGAGAGCTGTGAAGTGATAAAAAAAGGGGTGCACAGCCATATTAGTCCATGGCAGGGGCTTGGAACTAGTGGGTCATTAATGTGCCTTCTAACCCAAACCATTCAAGGGTTCTATGATATTGCCCATGGGACACAGTGAAGTCCTTTTTCTCTGTTAAATTGACTTTTTCTGTGCCAGAGCAGTACACAGGACTTCACTGGGCCCAGAGGCAACTTGAGTTGTACCTGGACTGTCTGGCCAAAACTGTTTTAAACCACCATCTCATGAGACCTTTTTTATCACTGTGAATAGCTAGACCAGAATAAAATCCAGGATTCCTGGCTATCAGTTCTTAGTATTTTAATCATAAAGCCCCATATCTCCCCAAAAGTGGTCATGGGTCCCAAGTCTCGAGTCCTGTGCGCAACCTCAGCAGCTTCCACCCATCTCCCAGCATCAGGAACAAGAACCAGGAGGCTGAGCTAAATAAACTTTTCATTCAGGCAAATCAAGCAATCCAAGTAAAATGCTTGATTTATGAACTTCCGCAGTTCACAGGCCCAAGATGGCAAAAAGGGGAATATTTATTTGTTTTCCCCTACAACTCAGTTACCAATTTGCCCATATTTCCTCCTTTAACTGCTGTGTGGACTGGTGTTACTCCATTTTGCCGCTCCCTGAGATATCAGCTCAGTGTGAAGCACAGGGAGCAGTGCTGACAGCAATAAACAAACAGGAATAATAAACTCACTGAGATACTACCTCTTTTAAACCGCGGCAGAACCTCTCAAACACCCGCTTCATGTTGCCACCCTTCTCCATGGAGATCACCCTGGTGTGGTCCTCTTCATTAATCCAGACGAGAAATGTTTTCTCATTGTTATGCCTGGTTGAAAGAGGAGGGAAAAAAAGAGTGTCTTTAAAAAGACAAGCCCTGAAAAATAGCTCTGAGTAGTCTTGGTTTTGTCATAGACTTTCAGTGCAACAGAGATGTTAAGTGTGGAGAAATAGCCTTGTTCTGTGTGGTGAGGGATTTGAGCTGATTTCACTGTCAGATCTCTCATGCCAGTAGCAATACACAGGTCTCTTGGGCACAGCTGAAGCAGTTTCCTGATCACATCATGCTGCTGCAGTGCTGAGTGAGGGAAAATGTGTTGTCCTCTAGTACGAGCACAGCTGAGGGGTGCAGCCAAGGGAGAAGCCAAACCCTGCATCCTCTGCCACCAGGGATGGGGTTTATTGTTCTTGAAAAAACCCAAAGACCTACATGCTGCTGGGGGCCAAGCAATATGTCCTTACTGAATTGTGTTCTCCCCTAAATCAAATCCCAGTGCACTAGATGGCTGCATCAATCAAGTGCCATGTCCAGGGATTGCAGATGCTGCTCCCAGATAGGGCTGGTTTGTCAATAAAGGCAGAAACACCTGAAAACCCTCTCTTGCCCTGGGCAGTCATAGCCAGGTTTGTTAAGTGCTGTGTCACACCCGAGGTCACTTTTCCTGGCTTCTTCTCCACCTTCCTTGTCTCCTACTACAGCCTTTCTACAGCACGAAGAAGGTGATTGATGGGATCAGACTCATTTGTGCCAACAGTGAAATACCACCAGGCTTGAGACACATGAAAGTGGAAGTTCAAGATCACTGAGAGCCTGACTTTCAGCTGGTCTTTTACAGTGTCTCCTTTTCCTTTTTGCACTTGGAGTTTGCCAGTACAACATGAGGAGTTATAAACATCCTGTGCCCTGACACTGGGTCACTCAAGGTACAGTCACCTCATCCTCAGTAATGTAAAAATGCTCAGGGGAAGGTTTTACAAAAATTCTGAGATTGGCCTGGCTCCCCTCCCCCTTTAATTAATCAAGTCGCCCCACTGTTTTAAGAAACATGCACTTGCACTGTGCCATTGCTGCTGGTGATGTTGGTGGGAATAGTCCTGCAGCTCACAACAAGGACAGGATCACAATCATTAAAAGCAAAATAATTTCCATAACCTATAATCTTTTTGACAACGATTTCTTTCAAAAGATGAAGTTTTTCAAAATATTACTTACAGAAATACTTTCCAATCACACTAATTTTTTTTTTAGTCTGCATGATATTTCACATGTAAAAGAAGCCAAACCCAGGTCTGTTTTATTCAAGAGATCCCTGAATAGAAATTAAATTGCTGGTCCTCCTGTTTGTAGAGACAGTGAATGATGTGCTTCAAGCTTTATCCTTTTCCTTTCCTCAGATTTAGATGGGGACCAGGGAACCTGCATCTTGTTGAATCTAGTAGGAAGCTTGTTGATGTAAAATAATCCTTACAGATTTCCAGCAGGTCATTGGATTTCATGGATGATCAGGTTCCACAGCTAGGTGATTCCTCAGAATCCTTTCTGCCCCATTTTTCAGCATTAAAGCCTCTGGTAATGCCTAGAAGTACAACAGGATGGATGCAGATGCTGTGCCCTGCACAGCCTCCTCCAAGCTCTGCTAGTGGGTGTGTGCACTCATCTGGGAGCTGTTATCCCTTTATCTCCACAGAAAATATGGCATTTGGGCACAACATGCATCAAGTGTGTTGTGACAGTAGAAACAAACCTAGAACAAAGCAGGAAATTCAACTTCCCTGTTTCCTTTTTGTTCAGATTATTTGGAAAAAAAAGAGTTACTTTCAGCCCTGGGAATTAAAACTCTTTTTTAAAAAAGCCAACTGGACACACAGTGAGTATGGGGACAGAGTGGCAGCAAGGTTAGGACAAGCAAGGAGGTTTGTAACATGATCTTTAAAGCACACACGAGCTCCTGCACGTCACACAACATACCAGATTCCTCTGGCATCTGGCCAGTCACGTGCCATCCCAGCACATGTTAGCAAGGGGGACACTGGCTTGTCAAAGAGAAAATGATCCTGGGTGCCAAAACGGGGCCGAAGGGAGAGAGAGAGAGGGAGAGAAAATAAAACAAAATTCAAGTTTATTCAAGGCAGCAGTGCAACACTGTCCAATACATTTTATGTGAAGGCAGTTGAAGCACAAGCAAATCACAGGGTACAGCTTGTGAACCTGGTTCCTTTGCCAGCAGCTGAAAGCACTTTACCCAGGTGATTTTCTTGAGTCTTGCAGATTCTCACTGATATGGATAAAGTGACCATGTTTTAACAGAAGTGTTTTTCAAATATAGGCAGGGGTGGAAGGTGGGACCTAACATGATGTGGGCACACCTAAGGGTACTCCAGAGGGACCTGTATGACAGATCCAGAGGGGTTCTCTACACACACATATCTCAGGGTAAGAGAAGACAACGAGTTCTTAAAGACTGAAAAAAAACCCTCACAAAAAGTGCTAGTTCTGAAAAGATGCTTCTCTGGCATAAAGATATTTATTCTGAGCATGAAATCAAGGTAGGAATTAAACCAGTGCTAATCTTGACCTTTTGGAATCAGAAACTCATTCTGTTCCTTAACAGAGATGCTATTTCTGATTTAATAAATGTAGCACTTGCTGTGCCACCAACTTGCCACATTCCAAATTGCTTAGATTTTTTTAAAGTAATAGTTGGATCTTTGTAGGGTTTTTCTCCTCTAAACCGAATAACTATTTGATTTTCATGTGTATCCTGAAAAATTACTAGTTCTTAATTATTTGAATACTGCCATATCAAATGTTGTGTGCGGGTTTTTTTGCTTGGGGTGTTGGTTTTGTTTTGTTTAAATCTCAGATTTAAGTAAGAATAGTGAGGCAAGCTATCCAGAATACATATGACTTGGTAGACACATTGATATGCGCTTTACGTCTTTTTTGCCTTAATGGAGAATTTTAGGTTTCACCTTTGAATACCCTGTGATGGACATGGTGCAGCCAGAACTCCAACCATGCAGAAAGAAAAGGTATAGAGATCTCTTTGCTCATCACAGGGACACAAAATTTTCTTCCTCAGTTGGCTCCACTTGACGTTTTTTCTTGGAAGAAAAATTCCCCTTTTTGCAAGAAAAGAGCTATTAGTTTCCCTTATGTGCATCTGCTCAGATCTGCAAAATACTCAGCCTTCTGGGCTGACAGCCAGTCATGTAGCACTGATTTGATACCACTGAGATCAATTTGATCTCACTGAGATCAAATGGTATTTATGAAAGCCTGGCACAAAGTGTGATCCCACAAGGGTTCAAGGTCCTAAAGCACTGGAGGGGCTAAGGAATGGTGTGAATTAAGGGACAAATCTGAGCTTATACACTCAATGCTTTGATTTCTATAAATTTTTATGAGCATAAAGCCAAACAAAGCAAGGTAAAATGCTGAATCTGTGAAGCCTATTCCACTTCCCACAGCATTTAGCCTTAAACTATGAAGGAATTACATTCTGCACACTCCTATTTCAACCTCTCCTTTCTCAGCCTGTCCTGCTGAGACAGGCAAGGAAATAAAACCTGCAATAGCTCATCAACATCTTGTTAATAAACATATTAACAAGGACATTCAATAAAAAAAGTTATTCACCTTACCTAAATTCTTAACTGCTGTTTAATCCAGACTGTGACACCTATTTTGAGGTTATAAATAGTTATGTTACTTCATCAGCTCACTTTTGGTTGATGTTATGGATTAATGTACCATGAATATAGCTAAGAAGGTACAGCCATTCCGTTGGATATTTAAAAAGCACTTTCAAGCTTTGTTTGACATGTCATATGCTGTGACAAAATCCATGGTGAAAATCCTTGTGTTTCAATCTGTGTGACAATGAAAACTCTTGTTACGGGCCTGAGCCTTCAAATTCTTAAACACAGTGACAGGACTGGGAAAAGGTCATCTGGGTGCAGTAGGCTACAGTCATTTTAGGGAAATAAGAATTAGTGTAGTTTAGCTTGATGAAATTACAGCCAAATTTCGGGAAATTAGAATTAGTGTAGTTTTGGCATAAAGAAATCTCAGCCAAAGCCCCCCACCAGGACAGTCTAAAATACAGATACCATGTATTGTACCCCAGCTGTCTGGGGTACAAGCCCACGTTTCAGATCTACACAGCAACATGCTTCACAAAAACACAGACCCTGGATGATTTGCTATCCCACTGGAAATACTGGCAGGCCATTAACTGTAGGGGTAACGCTGTGATTACCCTCCCTGGTCATGCAGGACAGCGAGTACCCCGGAGGAGAATGAAGATGGAGTGAAGGTGGTGTTGCCCCTGGGACTGTACTTACATCGATGAGCTGCTGCTGCTCCCGCTCAGTCATGGTGGTCAGGCTGTAATACTTGCCCGAGAGGTCCCCCCGGAGCCCAGAGAGCGCAGTGACCACGACGTTCTCCACTTCCCTGCGTTCGGCCCGGGTGCAGGCGGGAGGGAGGCTGAGCCCGCGGATGCTGCGCCCAGTCCGCACCCGGGAGGAGAGCACGTAGCGCTCATCGAACTGCCCGTGGGTGATCTGCGGGAGGATGCTCTGTTAGTTCACACACACACACACACACACACACACACACACACACACACACATCTTGCAGTCTGCTGCTAAAGCAATCCAAACCCCATCCCATAAAAAGAGGGGCATTTTCCTGCCCGAAAGTGGTAGCTTCTCCTCCAGATCACAAACACTTGGGGCACCAGGAGCTCTTCAAGAGTTTCAGGCACCAGGAGCTGTTTTATGGAGCAGTGTGGTTCTTTGGCTGGATGAACATGCTGGAGTAACCAGCTCATCCTTTGTGCTCCCAAAATATGAGGGAATCTGGGTAGCTTTTGGACATAAGGATATGGACAAAGGCAGGAAACCGGGTGGGGAAGATCCTCTGGAAGAGGGAAGTCCAAAATGAGGTTGTAGTTGAACTATGAAGGAAATATTAAGAAGCAGTTCAGGTTTGACTACATGTATGTGGGCATATTGGATTACACTTCTTTCATTTCAACCCTTACACAGATGGTTATCCAAGGATTTCCAGCCCAACAAATTGCATCCAAGTCAGCCAGTATGTCAACTTCATCAGGGGCCCAGCTTAAATGTCTCTGCAAACACACTGTGGCACAAGGAGTAAACAGGAGGACTCAGAGGTGTGCCAATGCCTGCAGGGCTGTGACCTTAGTGGCATCAAGGTCATGTGGTGGGATGGCTCCTGTGACTGGACTGTTGGAATGAAAGGATACAGGTTCCTTGGGAAGGAAGGCAGGGGAGCTGGGGAGGGGGTGTCACCCTTTACAACAATGATCAGCTGAAGTCCAAGCTCACTACCCTGAACTTCAGGAGACCAGATTTTGGCTTCTACAGGGATACGCTTGTTAGAGCACCATGGAATAAATCCCTGGGGCAAAGAGGGGTCCAAAAAAGCTGGGTAATGTGCAAGGATTGACTCCTCCAACCTCAGAAGTGATGCATTCCAACAAAGAGGAAGTCAGGAAAAAACACCAGGAGGCCTCTGTGGATGAGCAAAAAGAGCTCCTAGTCTAGCTCAGACACAAAAAGGAAGCCTGCAGAGGGTAGAAGCAAGGACAGGTATCCTGTGAGGAATATAGAGAAGCTGTGGCTCCCCTGTCCCTGGAAGTATCCAAGGCCAGGTTGAATGGGGCTTGGAGCAAACTGGGATAGTGGAAGATGTCCCTGCCCGTGGCAGGAGGTAGAATGGGATGAGCTGTAGGGTCCCTTCCAACCCAAACCATTTCATGACGATTCTGTGATTTGTAAACTCATGAGCAGACCCACAGTGCCCAAAAGCTTATTTCCACTGGGACTGAGTCCCTGCTATGGACAAGGGATGCAGCTGACAGGGCTGAGCGGCATCCCACTTTCCTTAAAGCTGCTGTCTTCAGAGCTGGATCAGGAGTAAGAAAGGTACTGTTGCATACAATACTACCACTGTAATAAGCAGCTCATATCCTTTGTTGTCTCATTGTTTTATTTCAACCCTACCTTGGATGCATCCAGGTCAGTGTGATGCCTCATTGTCCGTGGATCGTAGCCATTATGTCTTGATTTAATGACAGGGTCAAAAATCTCAGCAAACACCTATGGAGTCAAGAGAATCTAGAAAGAGTCTGCACCACAGAAATGCTTTGATGTACCACCTCCAATCAGAGCAGTCCCTGCCTGTAGTTACCACAGATAGGGACTGGACATGATGAAAACCTTATTGGTTTTTGGGGTGTATTACCAGCCAGAACATACACCCAGAACTCTCCAGCCACTTGCCTCTTGGCTTTGGGTCATGCAGGAATAAATACTCTGTGTTTTACCTGCCATGGGATACCAGTCCTGGTCAGAGTCACTTGTCTCAGGTGTGCCAGCACCAACCACCACTTCACCTTCAGATGAGGAGCAGTGGCAGTGGCACATCTGGACAGGTAAAACAAACCCCAGGAGGGGACAGTCCAGAATGGCAGGTATGCCAGTCCACCCTCAGCTGCCCTGAGCTCGGGATACTGTTAAGAGGCTGTGTAATAACAGGTACCATCAAAGTAGACTGAAGGAAGCAGACTACAGAAGTCAATAAAAATAAGCGTTTTTTCTGTTTTCTTCTTGTCGTTGCAGAGTTAAATAAACTGTCCACCCTAATGCTGTTGGTCTTCATTTTTCCTCATGGTCCAAAAGCTGTGGCTTAATGATACAATGTCTGGAACTTTCCAGAAGATGTTTCTGGTTTGCTTGTGCCCCTGCTGTTTGTTCCACAATGTGATTTCTACATTACATTCATTTTGTGCGTCCTAGAGTTGGACAGCTTTGCCATAAACTAACTTTAACTGTGGGAAGGAGGGCAGCTGCTGGAGGCAGGTAGCAGGTGCCAAGTAGGTATCTTTGTTAGCATCAGTTGCAGCAGAGAAGACACCTGCAGCAATACCTTATGTTCACGCTTTTCCTAATATGGAAAAGTAGAGAAAACACCATCTTTATGCACATGCCCTGGCCCTTATGTACCCTCTGGGATACAATTTGTCTTAGGAACACGTAGCCTACTGGAAATCTGTCTTCACCTAATGGGGAAGGACACCATGAAAACTGACCCAAACACAACAGTGTTGTGGAAACCTCTTACCTCATAGGACTCCTCATCCCCTGCCACCATTCCCACCGTCTTAATGAAAGGGTGGCCAGGATTGTCCACCCCAGTTTGGATGCACTGGTCCAGGGTGTACCCATTGGGGGTCATCTTGTCCCGAAGGCGGGAGTAGATGCCGGGGGTGAGGCACTCGGCCATGCAGTTGTTGTGCTTGCGCAGATCGGGATAGTCCGCACTGGGGGTGAAAGAGCCTGGAGACATTAACCTGTTCCCTGTGAACAGCGACCCTGGCTGCTTTATTACGGGGAACACGACACTCAGAGTACATTAAAACTATAGTTATTCTTTGTTTGTATGTTGCATTGAATTTTAGGAAGGAAGGAAGATTCTGGCTGCTGGAACTGCCCCACAAACTGCCTTCTGCCATCAGGAAAATGAATCCCAATGAGCTCTGAAACTGTACTAAGCTCCACTGAAGCTCTGCTAAAACACCATTATTCAGGAATAAAAGAGCTCCAGCAATGATTAGTTCAAGCAGGAAGGGAATTCAGTTTAGCTGAAGTGCTCTGTAGTTTGGAGCCTACTTGCTCTCATCAACACCAGTGGGCCTGTCTGACGTGCCGCTGGGCAGCTTTTCTTCTGCAATACCAGGGTTTGGTTTAATGGCGTTGTATTTGCCCAAAGCTGCATGGTGTACTAAGCCAGGGAAAATAAAGATGTTAGGCTGGTCTTGAAGGCCATTGCTGGTGCTATCTGATATTGGAGATATTAGGACAGGGTGCCTGGACAGAGTGCCCTGTATTTCAGCCCCTGGACAGACCACACGAGGACTATGCCACTTCCACAGGCATCCCCTTCCTCCCAAGGGCCAGGTGTTTCTCCTACACCCATGGCCAGGGCACTGTGCCTAGCTCCCTGCCTGTCCCCCCATCCTCACCTCGGAGGAAAGAGCTTCCTCTTCTCATGCACGGCAGCCTTCACATTCTGCTGGTTTAGGAGGTAGCCCGTGGTCAGCACCCCTGTGCCCGCGGCTGCGAACAGTGCGGTGGAGGCACGGCCAGCCAGCAGACGGCAGAAGGTGCCAGCCATTCCTCTCTGAAAGAGAAGGCAGCCCCGGGTCAGCCCACCAGGCCCTGCACAGTGCCAGCAACAACTGAACCCTCACCTCACACCACAGCCCTGCAGGAGGAGAAATTTGGTTTTATTATTGGTTTGCACTTACCCAGAGTGTTCATAAAAATTGCTGATATTCACAGGTGTATTTTCCCTATTTAATTCTACTGGGATTATGTCTGGAGTACAGGAGGTCTCTAAGAAGAGAGAGTTCTAGCAAAGAAAGTGGCATGTTCTGTGCACATTTTTTCCTCCAAGAATCAGAATTTAACTACTCTTGCTAGTGATTGTGAGTTCCTTAGGAAGATGTAACTCCATTCTAAATAAAGGACACAGATTCTATGATTCTACAAATCTAAATTTACAATTACAATCTGTGTAATTGACAGAAGCTTAATCTTAAAACTGGACTCTGGTAAATCATCTCGGGGAAACGGGCATGGAAGCCCTACAAGTAAACACGACCCTTCCCCCAGGATATGCTGTTTCAGTTGTTTTTGCAAAAGTTTTTAAAAATGTGATTCTTTATGCAATCTCTTCAACATTCTTTTGAAGGCAATAATAAACACTTCAAAGCATCTGGTTTTATTTCTAGTAAAACAAATGTTCTAATTTCTGTGTTCTAATTTTCATTGGGTTAGTTATATCCAAACCTTTTACTTCTTCGACTTTCCCACTCCTGTCTACAGACAAATGCATCTTTATCTTTTTGTTGCATTTTTATCTTATCATTTGATAAAAAACTCTTCTCCTCTTGAAGGTTTTTCTATTGCAAAGCAATACCTCCTTTCTACATCAGTAATATATGTAAGATGAGAAACACAGATCTATTCTAAGTTTGGAGTAATTTGTTTCATGTCCTCTATTATTTTGAAGCAGTGTTATATTTTAATTTTTTCATTCTTTCTCCTTCATGCCTTTGAAACTCAACATACAGTTAATCTAACTTTACTTCCAGAGAAAGGTGATGAGTGATTGACAGAAATTTCAGTATTTTTTTCACTGAAAGAATTTCCCTAAATCTATTAATTCATTTAGGTAAGCTGCAGGACAGGCTTTCATGACTGCAACAGGATTTCTCCCTCCCAAAATGTAGTGGGAGAATGTTTTACTGTAAATAAAGGTCAAATAAGGGGGTTCTGATGGAGATTTTCTGATTATTTCTTTTCTGTGTGTTTAGCAGATGGTTCTTGTACCTTTTCATAGTACAGCATCCCTGTCCTACACTCTGGAAATATTTCCTTATGACTAATCTGCACAGAACTATTGTTGTTACACCCAAGTGTCTGAGAAACATCACATGTATTTTCACAGTAGCCCTGTGTATTTACAGCTCTGTTTCACTGATGCATCTTTACAGCAAGGAATTGGCTGCCAGTCAAATTCCTGTCCTGAAAACTAGAAGCCATACAAAAATCCCATTGCAGATGATGATATTATGACTTTAATGACCCCAGGCACTCATCAGCATCTCCACCAGCTTGGGTCTTTTTGGAGCTTCTGAATCCTGTGTCACTTTAAGGGACATTGCTGCTGCTGAATGAATAAGAGAACTCCCTCCTCACTCTGGTTTATGCCTGTCTTTGACTGGGTGTTCACTCCTGGGCTTTAATCCCTAAAGCAAACCCTCTCAGCTTTATTGTCCATTTTAATAATGTCCCTTATCACAAGTATTTTTCTTGTTGGTAAAGTTGTCTTCCACTGTGACTGTATGCCTTGTCCCCAGGACAGTCTAGCATTGCTGGATCACACAAAAGGTTTCCCTTACCCTGGGACAGGTTCTACTTTACCTGGCAGATAGTTCTCTGGCAGCTCTTAAAAGCCTCCAACACTGGAGACACCACAGACCGTGCAGGTTGTCTACCTAAAAGAAATAAATCAGAGTAAGACAGGCTTTTCCCCCCTCATTTTTAAAAAAATATAGTGCCTAACTAAATGTCCCTTCCTGCAAATGAAGGTAGAACCTTCTGACTGGAGCATGGCGTTGCCATTATTTATGACTGTCACATGCAAAGGACCTAGGAAAGTTAGAATTCCTTATGAGAAGAAAAGCATCATCTCAAATACTAGGGAAAGGTGACTGTAATAGTTTTTACCAAAGTGATGTGACTCCTAATTCAATAAACACCTCTTGCCACAAGGGTGGGCTCTAGTCCTGAGTATAAATGTATGTAGTCCTGCAGCACAAATTGTTGTGCCTTGCACAGGTAGTCAAGTTCAGCAAACAGGTTCTACATAATTGGGGTATAAAATTAATACGAAACTTTACTTAATACGAAACCATTGGGGTTTTTTTTCATTTTTTTTTCTCTTCACAAAATATTATGATTTCTAAGTAGTGCATTGCTTCAGAACAAGCATTTTAAAAGTTTCATTTTAAAGGAGTCTGAATGGGATGGTTTTAAAGTAAGGAAAAAACCTCATCAAAGCCCTTTTTCAAATCTAACCTCAAATCATTAACAGATTCAGCTGTCTTTTTCCCCACAGAAATTTTCAACCTGCCCTTACAATAGCTTTGCACCATCAGTACCTCTGATTAAAGGAGTATGTTTTTTCTAGGAGCACTTTACCAGAAATACCCTGCTGTAATTCAGGTTTCACCACAGACCATCTTTAGGCCTCCATTGCAAGGATTTCACTTTCACCAGGGAAATTTAACCACTGCACAGCCTAAGAAATAAAACTGCACATTTTTTTTTTTTTTGCTGAGTGTCTTCCTGTGTGCTCATGATAGAAAACTCATTTTCTCATGGTGCAGCTGGAAAGGGGAAAGAATATTGTCTCAAGATCAGAAAAATTTTGTGGGTATAAGTTTTAAACCTTGGAAAGGAATCTAGTACTTTCCTTAGCTGACCAGGTGCACTGGAAGGAGAACACCTGCCTTTGGAAAGCATCAACCTAGAGAGAGCATGGTCTGGAGGAGATATAGGAGTTCTGAGGATTAATCAATCCCAGATAAAAAATAAATAAAATTCTTATTTCTGTCCTAGGTGTGTGTTCAGATTGACTCTCTGGCCTTTGTTATTGCTTTTAACAGTTTGTTGCAGAAATATCTACACATTTTTATACCACGTGCAGCTACTTAGTAATTCATGTCTCCATGTCAGGCTTTCTTAATCAAGTTTTGTATTTACTAATTGTGCTTTGGCTCTGCCTTGAACTCTTTCCATTGTGTTTTATCATCAACATCCTCACGAATGAGTCCTCACCAGGACCCAGCATGGGAGCAGCAGAGCATCTCTTCATTAAACAGCTCCAACATTTGAAGGCCACACTAGCCCTGGGGACCACAGGTCATTTTTAGTTCTGTGAACTAAACCTGCACTGATTTTTAGTTCTCAGTTTGTCCAAATGATGTCTAATTTCTATGGGATTGGACACAACACCTTTTTTAAGGTATAAGCTTTATTTTTTTAATAGATTTTAAACAATATTCCTAGGATTCATAGTACAAGACCTCAATCATGTGTCACTCAGATAATATATATGATATATAATAATATGTTAAATGATATAATATATAGTAATATATAATAATCTTTAGTAATAAGACCATTTTTCCAAAATGTAATGGATAGGCCCATTAAGAGTTATTAATAATTTAATGACATAGGGGCTTTGGCACATTCAGAGATGTGGTCTAAACTGAGCTGTTTCTAAACTGTTTCTAAACTAAACTGTGCAGGTCAGGGCTGAGCTGTCACTTAGCATGTGCACTGTCTGTGTCCCTCTCCTTTGCAGGTAGCACAGCTGGGCACTCTTTCAATGGTGGAGGGTCAGATACACATATCTTGGCTCATATTCAGCATCAGGCATGTTTTCTACAGCTAAATTTATGGATGGTTTTGTGGTTTTTTTCTTATTATTCAAGTATACTGCAAGGCATTTTGAAGCCTCCAGGTATCTGAGCATAACATCTTTATTTTTATTTATTAAAGTGTTTGGACGACTTGCCTAGCACGTTTTCCCCTTGTTGTCTCAGTCTGTTCATGCTTTGAATACTTGCCACATAATTACTCATTTAGATGCCTTTTGTGCACCCCCAGGATTAGAGATGCCTCTGGCCCAAGACCAGGACATGGAACACAGCTCAGTACCTCCGGGACTGGATTTTGTCACTGGCAGAAAGTCCTTAAAACTTTCACTTCCAAGGTCATTTGTACTTGTGATATCACTTGGACAAAGCACAAATACTGTTGTACAGGAGAGGACAAATACAGAGCAATTGTCCCATAAACAGTTGCTGTGTGTCCTCCATGCATCAAGTTTCCTCCAACGGGGCACAGTTTTGGTTAATTCTGTATAAGACACTGACTCAAAGAAACAGCTACTGCAGCATTCTACAGCTACTGTGGCATTCCCTGCGTGCAAAACCAAGGTTTTCTCATTCCACATTCCTCGTTCTCACCTCATCAGCACAACAAAGGGTCAACAAATTGAGAGTCAAATCAGCATTGGTTTTTCCAAGGAAATACTCCCATATACCGTGGTTAGTTATGGCCAGTGAATCAGCAAAATGTGTCCAAAAGGTCACAGAGGTCAAAGCCTTTATCTCCCTGCCCTGCCCCAAGACCCAAGAAGGGCTCAGTGACCTGTAACCAACATTCAGGACACTGATAGCCTGCCAGGAGCGTATTTTTGGTTTAAGACTGTACTTTAACTTGTGCATCAGCCACCTTGCACTAAAAGTGGAGACAGAAGCCATCAGCAAGGTTTAAAAGAAGTCACTGCTGGAAATCTGGTGTTGGCTTAGGAACAGCCCAAAGGACTGCAGGTACCCCTAAGGTGGAGGAGCAACCCCAGCTCGAACTCTATGAACTCATGAACTTTGCAACTACTTTTAATATTTAAGAAAAAAAAAAAAAAGAAAGCTTTTGCCATTAATTCTTCACTTTCTTGAACTTCTTTTAAATAGGAAGCTGTCTTTCTCTCTGGATGTATTTGAGCACAGGTATTGGTTACCCCAAATTTCACAC